GCCGATGGCTCCAAAATTATCTCGTCCCAGCGCACATCCACAAGCTGACCAAGACATCCAAAGTGACAGTCGCATCCATGGGTGTGATCCGGATGCGGATTCCGTCGCAGCATCGGACGGTCAAGAGCAAATCCGTGTATTGGAGATGCGAGCTTATTATGATCGAATTCGTGACATGTCCAGTGACTTCTGTCCCACTCAGCAGCGCACGCGCTGATCCACCTCATGGGCATCTGCTCGGCCTCTCTTTCGAGTCTAGGCTAGCCCTTGAAATGCCCTCTCATGCATCGAATTAGAGTGGCTCAGTCATTGCAATCAGGCGCGATTTTCCTTTAATCTCGGTAGGGTCTCTCCTTCGTCTCGCCTTACTACTCTCGCTTGTTGTCGCAAAGGGTGGTGTTTTTTCTTCACGAACGGGATGGTGTTTTCTCCTCCACCCCCTCTGGCATCGCCGACCTCGCCGCTCATCCTTACTGTAGAGCTTGTACCTACCGTCGTGGTACTCCGTCGCTCTTGCGCGTATCATGGCTCTGAAATTCGGCCCGGACTTTTGGAACGTGGTTCAAGAGAGACTGCAACCGAGGTACTACCCTACCAGTAGTGGATTCTAGGAGATTTCATAGTAAACATACCCATTGTGTGTGTGCTGCTTGTGCTTCCATCTTCACGAAGCCTCGTGTCCAGTCGGTTCTCCTGTTAAGCGGTCATTCATAAGCACGCTGCAACGCGTGTACACGTGCGATTCCCCATGCCCTCTCTCATTCCGTCTCCATCGCGGAAAAGGGTTTGGCTCGAAATCGAGTTTAAGTCTGAAAGTTGCAGGAAAGTTGCAGAAACCTACCTGAAAAGTATCCGAAAAGCACTGAGTGAAAACCGCAACATGCACCAATTTCGGATACAAGCTGGCTTCCGAGCTGCGAACATGAGCTACGTGGGTCAGCCGGGGCGCAAATTTTGTATACGTGGGTTTACCGAGCCGCGAATTTCACACATCAAACTTGAAACATCTTCAATGAACAGTACACCTTCGTCCGACCAAATCTCGGGAGTCCCCTTTGCTGGTGTATGATCGATGAACACTAGAGCACGAATCACGCAGGCATTGTCGAACGTGGCGAGCACAGTAACTGGGATACAACCTCAGACGAGGCTCACGAAGGCACAACCCAGAATTAGAACTGGCAGCTGGCATACAGTTCCATGTCACACCCAATCAATGTAAGTGTTCAGATTCTGTTCAAGTGACGTGGCTTCCCGGATCACACCTTAGGTAATCGGAATTGAGCTATCCCCACCTTCATGATTTTTTACTAACCAATTACTGGTGCGATGTATGCTAGTACCAGAAATCTACGGCATCCGTGAAGACACATCATCACACTTTGGAGCTCTAGAAGCATCTCTCTTTCGTATTCACACAACACGCTAGTTGTGTAGCTCATTGGTCACACAACTTTCTCAGCTTTTTCTTCTAGTCCAGCCTGCATATCGTGCCTCTGAATATCCCCTCACGCATCAACTAGCGTATACCGTATGCTCTTCCTTCTGTGTGTGTAATAATCTAGTATAGGAAGTATGTATTCAAGCTACTATCTGTCCAGATCTACCGTCTCAGCCTGCATCTGTCCCCTTCTTTTCTACCTCCCGTCCCATATACAGCTCATCGACTTGCGCTCCCCACGTAGAGGACGTTCTGCGCGCGAATCGCCGCGGTCTCAGCACCCGTCTACCTACGAACGGTGCGCCGTAAAGCGCGTTGCCCGGCAGCGGAAGCGCCGTGTTATGCGCTGAAAGCGTGATTTTTTTTACAAACGATTCTCCTCACTCCTGTTGTGATCCTCACTTGTCATTTATTCGCACTTGTTAGGCTTCTTCAGTTCTCGTTTTCCTCTCGTTCTTCCCGCAATGAATGCAGATACATTTTCTCTTGTATTGAACTGCGCTGCACTGTGCCACTTTAATCAGTTACATTGATGTTCCCGCTTCATATCCACCCAATACACAGATCGTCGGCACGCTCTCTGCATGCGGGAAGGCCTTCGGTCTCGCTTTGCCTCCGCTTGCAAATCTCTTAAATCGTCGTGGCTTCTTCCCCATGCTCGTATCGAGTTATATATCATCCAGCCTCTAACGCTAACGTTTAGCTGTCTTCTCATGTGTGGTACCAAGACCGTTGCAGAGTCAGTGGCTACCACTGTCAGAATCCCAACCACTAGACCATTGGGATAAAAGGGCTTGTTTCAGTAGCGGGTCAGTGCGCCCATAACCCCCCAAGCAAACGCGCCTGTAACCCCCCCTAGGATCGATCGGGGATCTCACAGTGTAGCTCTACTGACATCCCCCCATACTGGGAGGCCCAGGACTGAGCAAAGTGGCAACAGCCAACATGTGCATACACCAGGATTCGAACCCGAGACCGCTCTGATACCATGTCAGAATCCCAACCACTAGACCATTGGGATAAAAGGGCTTGTTTCAGTAGCGGGTCAGTGCGCCCATAACCCCCCAGGCAAACGCGCCTGTAACCCCCCCTAGGATCGATCGGGGATCTCACAGTGTAGCTCTACTGACAGCCACGAGATATATATACATTTTTTTTTTCGCAGAGATTTCGCAGAGTTGTCTATCTTATTCATGGCAATGTTATCAGTTCAATTCAAGGCCCGCAGGCGGTAGGTCAGTGAGGTAGGGAACAATTAGTGTCTACTAACCCATGTCTAACACTATGTCGTATCTCTGTTTGCAGGCTCGCAAACGAAGCGTGATTTCGCCCTATATTCATCTGCCATTGAGACCTGAAGATCTGTAGTCGTTGCATAAGCTGTGTTGGTTTTTTGCCTAGATCGTGCTCTGTGTATGCTGATAAGTATGCATGCAAATGTGCAAGAGAATACATGTAGTGTATAAACTGAATACTTCTAAACACATCTGTAACTAAAACGCATGGTGTCAGAATATCATTCTTATGTTCTAGCCTGTAGTGGGGTGCTCTATAGCGAGTACAACCCTTCTAGGGTTTGCTATTTGTATCCCCATTTCTGCTAGTTCATCCCTCTTTCTTCTTCTAACTTTTGTCATGCTATCAGAGCAGGTCGATCCCCTTTGGATCGATCCTGTGGGTGGGTTACCACCTCGCTTCCGCTGCTACCTTTCCGTCCCGCCGTGCGCCCCGAGGCGCGCGGCGGTTTTCCTTCCCGCCGTGCGCCCCGAGGCGCGCGGCGGTTTTCTGCCCGCCGTGCGCCCCGGGGCGCGCGGCGGTTCTTTGCCCGCTGTGCGCCCCGAGGCGCGCGGCGGGCGTCTGCCCTACCGTCGCGGCCCCGCCCTGCGTCGCGGCACCGCCCCTCGAAGCGGCCCTGCTCTACGTCGCGGCCCCGCCCCGACCGTCGCGGCCCCGCCCTACAGTCGCGGCCCCGCCCTACGTCGCGGCCCCGCCCCGACCGTCGCGGCCCCGCCCTACAGTCGCGGTCCCGCCCTACGTCGCGGCCCCGCCCTACGTCGCGGCCCCGCCCCGACCGTCACGGCCCCGCCCTACGTCGCGGCCCCGCCCGACCGTCGCTGCCCTGCCCTACGTCGCGGCCCCGCCCTGTGTCGCGGCCCCGCCCCTCGAAGCGGCCCCGCCCTACTTCGCGGCCCCGCCCCTCGTCGCGGCCCCGCCCCTTTTCGCGGCCCCGCCCTCCAACCAGGCCCGTGGTGGGTCCCTTTCACCACCCCGCCTCCCCCCCCCCCCCTCCCCCTGCCATTTCCCGTCGTCCGTCGAGGCGACCTGAGGGGGCCGCTGTGGGGTGGCGGGTATGGGGGTGGCCGGTCTTCCTTCCTCCCTTTGCTCCTCCTCCTCCTTCGTCTCCCACTGCTGCAGCTGTCGCTGAGGGGGGTGGTTGTGTGGGAGACTAGGGTTTAGGGTTTAAGGGGGGGTGCGTGGGAGTAGAGCTAGCGGTGTAGCAGTGGGTGTGTATCAGGGGGGTGGGACTGTTTGCGGGAGGTTGAGCGGAGGCTGCCGGCTTGTCGTCCGCAGTACCTGTAGTCCGGGGCGCTGTCCCGGTAGCCCAGTCGTAGCCAGCTGTGCCAGCCGCCCGTGGGTCCGTTGCCCGTCCGCCGCTATTTGAGCCGCGGGGCCTGTTACTCCTGTAGTCCGGGCGCTGTCCGGTAGCCGCTGTGCCAGTCTGCCTCCTGTTGCCCGTGTGTCTGCAGCTTCAGCCGTCGCCTCCTGTCTCCTCTCCCCTCACTCTCCCTCCTCCTCCTCACTTGCCCGTTGTGACTACCACTAGCTTTGCTTATAATTGTGAACTCTAAACTATTTCTTCTTGAACTTGTGCTCAGAATGTGTGGTGACATTGTGATCCACCCTGAGCTTGTTTTACTTTGCCTGCTCTGCTGATTACACCCCACTTTGGCTATGGGGGTGTGTCAGAATATCATTCTTATGTTCTAGCCTGTAGTGGGGTGCTCTATAGCGAGTACAACCCTTCTAGGGTTTGCTATTTGTATCCCCATTTCTGCTAGTTCATCCCTCTTTCTTCTTCTAACTTTTGTCACATGCTCCGATTTCAGACAATTCGGCGGCGTGTTAAAATCAAATTTCCCACGTTCGCACAGCTTGTTTGATTGGTCCAAGTGTCACGCCTGAGTCCACATATTGCGAATGACACGTGGCAGAAATATCGTAGCTGACATGGCAAAATATCTTCGCGAACGTACCGGCGTACGTTCACTTCGAAGTCGAAACTGTACGCATGCCACGTGGCAGGTGGTGAAACAGCATACATGTGACTGAAATTTATACACGTGTCCAAAGATTGTCCGATAAGTTGCGGTTGTGTTGCGGGAAAGTTGCAGGAATGCAACATTTTCACAACTTTCCCGCAACCACGATTTCTGCAACATTTGACCATCACTGGAAAGTTGCAAAACCAAGGTATCCAAAAAGTATCCTTTTTGCAACTTTCCCGCAGCTTTCTGGCAAGTCCTTTTTCGCGATGTCTCTGCCTCCCAGGCCACAGGAAATGCCACTGTCAGTTCATGCGTCAGCTCAATCCGGCTTCACTGAGGAATCTCCTGAGGGCAGCCATAATTCTGGTGATGATGGTGGAAGCACGGCAGCGACAAAACCGAAGGAGCTTGAAGTGGAATGGCTGGAAGCTTCTCAGATCCGATTCAGCCAGCCGACTATATGCGAGGCCTTCTCACGCCCGCCAGCCAAGGCAGTATCAGATGCAGCACCCGAACACAAGAGGTATGCATCTTTTTAGCATCTCGCCCCATTTGCTCCGTAATCTGCTGTGACTTTGTTGGGCTTTTTTATATAGTGGCAGACGTTTGCTTTTTTTTGTTCTCTCTCAACAAGGCCTCGCCTCCCTCGTCTACTATAATTATGACTAGTTTTTTCTTTCTGCCCCCACTTCCTCACTTCTTCCCAATCCCCCCTGCCACTAATACAACTTACCGAACATCTCCTCCCATCAGCTACGCTCGTGTGGCTGCAGCTGCGCCCAGAAGCAACAAGTACACAGTCTTTGACGCCGTGCGAGATCTCTACAGCGGCGCTAGCAAGGTGGAGGACTTTCCACCAATCCGAGTGGTGGAGCAGGACGGGCTGCTCTTCTCTCTAGACAACCGCCGCCTCTACGTGTTCAAGCTATACCGACCCACCGGATTGCTTGTGCCTGTGCGCTGAGTACCGGCTGATAAGGAGCTGTTTCAAAAGCTCACGTGCACGGGCATGGGGGATGCGCGGGGGAAGGCGGTGGAGGTGTTGACGGAGGAGGAGGCGAGGAAGTTGGGCAGGGTGCTGCAGCTAGAGCAGCACGTGCTCAAGTGGAGCGTGGACGATATCATGAATGATTACCTGGTGTTCCGGAAGGTATGGCTATAGCCTGCCCTGCAGCAACATCGGATTTTTACCAAGCGCTTGGGAGTGACTCATGCTTGGAGTGTTTTGACCGTCCTCTTCTCGTATTCTTCCTTTCCTTTTGTCTGGCTAGAGCTCAAGCGTATGGTACAATCAGAGCACTTGATAATTGGCATCTCGTTTGAAGCAACTTCGTTCGTATACTACAATAACTACCATAATCGATCACCGATACCATAACCACCCTTGTGACTTGTCACCCGTTCAGGTTCGGCCTATACCAGACGCGTTCCCGAACGTTCGCTCGTACCTGTCTGCGTTCCGCTGGCCCATGGTGGAGGAGTGCCGCGCCAGCCTCAAGTCTGGCCTGAGTCAGCTCTCTGCATCAACCCCCATTCCAATAGACATTCACAAAGTGGAGAGGCTCGATGGGTATGTGGCAGGCGTAGATGATTATGATGACGAGAAGGAGGGGAAGGAAATTGGGAATTACATGGCCCACAAGGATTTATTTGGTAGAGATTTGCATGGGGAGGAGGATATATATGGAGGTTCTTCGTTTGAGGGAGCGAGGAGGGTGAGGAAGCCGGTGAAGGTGCACTCGGATACGGGGCGGTTTGGTGCGGTGGTATTCGAGGTGGACAGGTAGAAGCTGGCTGGAGAGAGGGCAACGTGGGGGGCAGGAGCCGGGGGCAGCGTGTCCGAACAAGTGAAGCTGAAGCCAACAGATGTGGTTCTTTTCTACACCGTTGCTCCCACTGACTACACCGACCTGCTTTGCTCGGGCGTGCTGTATCTGCTGGGCGTTCTCATTCCTGACCGCAACATGACAAAAGCCCTTCCTCTTCCAGAAGAGGATGTGGCACAGGGCGGCGGTGGGGGCGATGGGAGCAGCTTGTACTTCAAGGCAAAGATATTTCTTCCGAAAGATTCTCCCGAGTCTAGAGGCCTAGAGGGGGCTTTGGTGCAGAAGAAGAGTGGTAAGGGAGATGGTGGAGTGGAAGGTGGTGAGGAGGGGGGTGGGACTCAGGAGGTTGCCTGGTATGTGACCCCAGTGGATACATTTCCCATGCCTCACCGCATCTGGGATGCGCTACATGCGTCTCTTGGGCAGGAGGAGTGGAACGAGAGCGGGGAGTCAAAGAGAGATCGGACGATGAGGATGGTTTTGGAGGAGGTGTTGTGTTCGGAGAGTGGGAGCGGCAGGAGGGGTAGAGCGAAGCGAAGCACAGAAGAAGAAAGAGAGGTAAGGGGGGCTTGATTCTTGTTGTGTTTGTTCTTCTCGTTCTGTTGTAGAAGGATACGCCCCCCTGTGCGTTACTTTTTTGAGCTAGTGCTGCCACCAGCTGCACAACCAACGATCACCCGTGTGTGATTCCTGTTCAACCAGTTTCATTCTTTCCTCTGCATGCCACCCTCCTCTCCCATGCTACCCTCTGGTGTCGTGAGCAGCAATTTCTGAGCATGCTACCTCCAGCCATCTCCATAGCTCCTGATGTGGTTCCGGAGCTCATGCAAGCCGTGAGGGATTTCTGCCATGCCCGCGGCCTCAACCAACCACAGCGAACAGCCATTCTCGCCTGCCTGAGAGGTTTCCTCTCGGTCGCTGCTTCACCCAACGCCACTGCCTACTCCGACTCTGCCTCCCCGTTCTTCTCCCCAAATATCCCCTCCTCTTCTCTATTCTCATCCTTCTCATCGCCACTCGACGATTCTGCGTCTCGCCGACTCCTGCAGCTGGTGCAGGGACCGCCCGGCACAGGCAAAACGCATACAATCTCCATTCTCCTCTCTGTCATGCTTGCCCTTGGAGTTCGCACGCTTGTTTGTGCCCCTACCAACGTCGCTATAGCAGAAGTGGGCCGGCGAGTGCTGCATCTCGCGCTCTCCTCTGATCCCTCCTCTCACTTTGCAGGATACTGCCGCGCCCGGCAGCAACAGTGCTACGGGTGGCCGGACCGAAAGGCATTCGCGAGGCATGGGAGACTGAGGGTTGAGGATATAGCCCTTGTGGCGAATGAAGAGAGGCTCGAGATTGATCCAGAGCTGGAAATGATTCTGGTGGGCAGTGAGAGGAAGGAGAGTGGCGGCCAGAGGCGGACTCTGAGTGGTCGTATTGGGAGGCTGATAGGAGCAGTTTCCTCTCTATTTGATTGGAAGGCGTCGTTTCAGAGCTTGATTTCCTTTCTGGAATCCTCATGGGAGGATCTGAACGGTGAATTTCAAACTGAGTTGAGAGCGGAAGAGAAGAGGCGCTGCAGGGAAGATGCTCCTGCGCCCGACGAGGATGATGAGCAGGGCGAGGTCAGAAAAGGCGGCAGCAGCAAGAAAGATCCAAAGAACGTCGACCCGCTCCCCACCCTCGTAACACACTTCCAGAAGCGCATTGATCTCCTGACCCAGCCCGCTATGGAAGCAGCTGTTAATCTTGCAGAGGACCTGCCGTCTGCTCTTCTCCCTGAGAATCAACGGCTGCTGCTTCTCCAAGCGTTTGATCTCATGGCAGCTCTGTGCAAGCTGGTAAGATGCGCTCGGCTGACTCCTGCTGTTCTAAGGACATAGCTGGAAGGCGCGGGGGAGGTGGTTGGAGGGGAAGGGGGGGTGAGATCGGTGGTTGAGGAGGCTTCGGTGCTGCTCGGTCTTGGTGTCAGTTCTGGGGGTGGCTTGGACGCGGATTTTGCAGCGAGCACTAGCAGCAGCACCACTGGCAGCAGCAACAGCAGAATTGGCATGATACGGGCTGCAGGGATCATGGGCAGTAGCAGAAGTAGAACCGCAGCCATCAAAACCACCACCATCACACCAAACCAAGCCCGAACACTATTCCTCTCCATTCGCATCTGCCTGCGACGCATCGCAAACCAAAGCCCAGCCTACAGCACCCCGAGCCTATCCGGAGCCCCCACCTTTGCAACCGTGGCTGCAGCATGCATTGAATACGCCAAGCTCGTCCTCTCCACCGTCTCCTCCTCTGCGCGCCCTCTCCTCCGTTTATCCAGCCCTTTCCCCCTGCTGCTGCTGGACGAAGCAGCCCAACTGGTGGAGGCAGAGAGCCTGGTGGCGCTCCAGACGAAAGGGCTGCGCTATGCTGTGCTCGTGGGCGATCCCAAACAGCTGCCCGCCACTATTCTGAGCAAGGTGAGCGGGGGGAAGTGGTCAGTTCGTGAATTACTCTATTGCACTCTTGTTTCAACACATGCCCCACACACTCCTCTGACTGTCAGAGTCTGACACACACTCCCTGCACTTGCCTCTGATTCCATGCCCGTGAACTCCTTGTACTCTACCTTCCTTCATTTTCCTTTTCATGCATTCGCTCTCTCTCCCAGGTAGCAGTTGAGAGCCACTACAACCGCAGCTTGTTCGAGCGCCTGCAGAGCAACGGGTGGGAGGTGCACATGCTGAGCGTGCAGTACCGCATGCACCCTGAAATCAGCTGCTTCCCCTCTCACCGCTTCTACGAGGGGCGTATCGAGGATGGTGCCAACGTATGCCACCCGTCCCACTGCCCGCAGCATCTGGAGCGTCTGTTTGGCCCGTACATGTTCATGCACGTGAGGGGCAAGGAGGAGAGGGATGTGGGGAAGGCGGGGGAAGGCGGCTCGCGCAGTATTGCAAACTCGGTGGAGGCTGCGGTGGTTCTAGCGTTGCTCAAACGGCTCTCTGACGGTGCGCCCTACTCATGTGCTCTGCACTGCAATATTCTGCTCTGCCTTCCACTACTACTTTGTGCCTTTCTCTCCTTTGCTAGTTCTGCTTCTATGATGTGCCAGATACAGCTGCTTCTCCTGCTTCTGGTGCTTCAACCTCGCCTCATAAACTCGTCTGTAACTCCCCCTGCTACCCGCTCCTCTCCTCCCACCCCAGCGCGCACAGCCTGCAAGGGCATTGCAGCAGCAGCAGCAGCAGCAGGGGCGCGCGCCCCACCACTAAAAGTGGGTCTGATATCCCCGTACAACCTGCAAGTGGACTACTTGAAGCGGGCGCTGGAGTCGCAGTCGTGGGCGCACCTGGTGGTGGAGGTGAAGAGTGTGGACGGGTTCGAGGGCCAGGAGCGCGACGTGATCATCGTCACCACTGTGTGCTCCAATGACGCTGGCTCCATTGGCTTTGTGTCCGATGCAAGGCAGTGGGTGGTGGGGGTGGGGTGATGAGGGGAGGAGGGGTGTCGGGGGGTGGGTGATGGGTGTGGGTGATGGGTGTGGGCGATGGGCGTCCACGAGTGGGTGCTTGTTGTTAGTATGTTTATGCACACTGGGTTTACCTCGGATTCCATTGGCAGTTCCTTGAGTGACCTCCTGCACTTCACGTACCTCATACCTTACTGCCTTTTGGTCTTAGAAATGGCTAATTCTTGTCTTCCCTGCATCTTCCTCTCTACCCACCTCCCCCCCTTCCCACCTTTCAATTCCCCCCGTTTCCCCCTTTCTGTCCTCCTTACTTCCCTCCTCCCGCTTCCCCCTTAACCCTTCCCCCTCCCCCTTCTCACCTTCTCCTCCCCCCCCCCCCCACCCCTCCCTTCTCCCTTCCCCGCCTGTCAGGCTGAACGTGGCAGTAACACGAGCGCGGTACAGCATGTGGGTGGTGGGCGATCGGGACACGCTGCAGCGCGGCGACACCACATGGGAGCACCTGCTCGAGGACGCGCAGCAGCGCGGCTGCCTGGTGGATGCACCGAGCGATGTGAAGCTGCGCAGAGTGGTGGAGAGGCGTCAGATGGAGTTGGGCGAGGTGGAGCAGCTGCTGCTGCCCAACTCAGGCCTCTGGGACTCACTCATTTGGGAGGTGAGACTGGTGGGGGGTGGGAGGGAAAGGGGAGTGGGATGTGGGTAGAAGGGTGTGGACACCGGCATGGGATTGTGTGATTCAGGGGGAGGGATATGTGGGGAGGTATAGATGGGATGAGCAGAGTGGAGAGCAGGTAGAGAAGGTGGTTTCAACTTGCAAGCCTCGTTCTCTGTTTCCCTTCCCCACAACCAGGCCACCTTCAGCGTGGAGTTCCAGCGCAACATGCAGCAGCTGCGCTCTCTAGACGTCATCAACGCAGTGAGGCCTCATGGGGGGACACAGGCCGCAGCGATGCACCAGGCTACGGCATGCGCTCAAGGACCCGCGTTACTATGACATCATTCACGTGCAGGCCGTGGGGAGATACCAGCTTATCTGGACCGTTGACGTCTCCCGCACCACCTTCAAGCAGGTCGCTGCTCTCTCTCTCAATCTCTCTTCCTGCTCCTCAGCTTGCTCTCGGAACCGTTTCCCCTCTCTTGCCGTCTTTTGTGTGCCCTTTAAGCACAAAAACCACCTTCTCGTCCTCCATATCCCCACGTCGCAACAGTCTCATGAGTTGCTCTTTCTCCTGTGCTTTGTTCCCTCCCCCCTTTCGTCTGCCCTCCCCTAAGCACTGTACTAAGGAGCAGATCACTTGGTTGTGGGACACGGTAGAGGAGCAGCACGTGCTCAAGAAAGAGGTATGGTCACAACAATTGCATGAGTTGCTCTTTCCCCTGTGCTCTCTCCCCTCCCCGTCGTCTGCCCTCCTCACCGTTCTTACACGTAGCTGCGGAGATAACTGCTACAACGGGAGCTAGGCTAGGGGCTAGGCACGTGTGCTCGTGTGATCTCTGCGTTCTTTAGTCCTTAGTCGTTTTCCTTGTGCGCACACTACTTGCTAGTTCACGGGGAAAGTTGGCAAGAGTTCCACTAGGAAAAGTTCAGAAAAAAAGGTACAATGAAGTTGGCATAGCAAGACTACATCAGAGCAAGCATTCAGGTCGGCCAACTGCCAGCGCAGCTTGGTCGACCGCGTTCCAGCACGACTTGGTCGACCGCGCTCCAGCAAGGCAAGGTCGGCGGCGTGCCAACGTCGCAGGTTGACGGCGTGCCAGCGTTGCTCACGCAGGACAGCAGTGCACCCGCTTCGCAGGTGCGCGTAGATGATTGGCGTGCAGAGTCCCGTCACCTGCACAGCACACACACCATGTCAACCTCGAGCTGACGACTGCCTCTGATCCGCCATGATGACCTCGGGAGACCACCACCGAGGTCGGGCTTGCCAACTTCGCTTGGGCGACCGTTGCACTCCTCCGCAGCACTTCGTCACCCAGGTAACCTGGTCGACCGGGCAACCATATCGACCAGCAGCTCCCGTACGTGCCCGTCGACCTCCCAAGACGATGACCACCTCCATCAGTCAACCTCCTCCAGGTCGACGTTCCTTCTAGTCGACCAGCTCCACGTCGACCAGTACTCCTGGTTGACCTGCTCCTCGTCGACCAGCATAGTCGTCGGCCGACCACCCACGTCGGCCACCCGAAGTTGGCGTCACGAAGTTGACGCCCCGCTACTCGACACCCAACTGCTCGGCGTCCTGAGTCGAGGTCGACGTCGGCCCTTCCTTCGTCGACCACCATGTCTACTCGACCACCTGCAGGTCGACCAGCAGTCCGTCAGCCAACCACCGAAGTCGGCTTCCCCAAGCTGACGTCACCAAGCTGACGTCCTCCGCAGGTCGACTCCCAAGTCGACCTCCCCGAAGTTGGCGCCCGTGCAGTGGTCCCCATGCAGGTTGACCTCCTCGTCAACCAGCTCGCCCACTGCTGCAGGTCGGCTGCTCCCCTCACACCCGACCACGATGTCGGCTCCGCCCAAGCGAGGACGGGGCCAACACACAACTCCCGTTGACACTCCCCTGCCGCGTTCACCCTTGGGCCCCCAACCCACACGGCAGTACTCCTCGGAGAAAAGCTCGTCGACGTGCACCCGACACACAGCACGTCGTCCACCGCACCAGGCATGCAAGAGGGCATGGCACCTACTGCTGCACATCCTCGACTTCGTTGCCCACGTCGGCCAAGCGCACCTGGCCGATGGCAACGGAGCACCGGTTGAAGGCCGGATAGTGCAGCGCCTTCGTCAGGAAATCGGCTGGCTGCTCAGCGGTCGGGATGTACTGCAGTCAGAACTTCCCGCACTTCACCATGTGCTGCAGCCAGGCCTGTCGCCGCTCCATGTGCTTGAGGTTGCCCGTCAACCCAATGCCCTCGGCGACTGTGATAGCCGACTTGTTGTCCACGCACAGGACAGTCGGCTTCCCGGCGTCCAGCTGCCGGAACTCGGCGAGGAGGAAGCGAAGGCGGCGTCCCTCCTTACTAGCTTCAGTGGCCGCCACGTACTCCGACTCGGTCGACAACAGCGTCGCGCACTTGATGCGCTGGCTCGACCAGGAGACTACAGCACCTCCGTAGACGAACACGTAGCCGTCCGTGCTCGTCCTAATCTGCTTGTCACCAGCGTCGTCGGCGTCCACGTAGCCGACCAGCTCCAGCGACTCAGGTCCACCGCCGAACTCCAGGGCGGTGTCACGTGTGTTGGCGAGGTAGGCAAGGCAGCGGTCGACCTCGCGCCAGTGCTGGTCGCTCCTCACCGTGAGGCCGCTCCCCAGCTTGTTGCAGGCGAAGGCGATGTCCGGCCTCGTCGTCATCGCCGCGAACTGCAGCGAGCCGACCTTCTGCCGGTACTCCTCCTCCTGTTGCTCCTGCGCCTCCTCGTCGTCGAAGGTGAGCTCGGCGTAGGCGCCGACCAAGATCGGCGTCTTCGGGGTGCGCCCTGTCTGCTCCTCGTCGAGGAAGCGCCTACGCAGCTTGTCGGCGTAGCCCTGCTGGTGCAGCCACAGCTTCCCCGCCGACCTGTCGCGCACGATCTCCAGCCCAAGGTACTCCTGCACCGGCGAGATCTCGCGCAGCTCGAAGGCGGCTTCCAGCAGCTCCTTCAGCTCCCTCGGCATCGCGGCGCTGCTGCTGGCGGCAAGCAGGTCGTCGACATAGACCAGCACCCAGCAGGCCACTCCACCCTCGCCGACCTTGAAGTAAAGAGCCTCGTCGACCTGGCTCTTCTTCCATCCGGCGCCGACCAGCACATCGTTGAGAGCCAAGTACCACAACAGCGGCGACTGCTTCAGCCCGTACAGGCTCTTCAGCAGCTTGCACACCCGGCCGGATCCGTCGTTGAAGTAGTCCCGCTGGGACATGTACAGCACCCGATCAAGCTTGCTCTGCAGGAAGGCGTTCTTCATGTCGAGCTGCATCAGGTTGAGGTTGAGGACGGCGACGATGCTGAGGAAGATCCTCAGCGTGACGTAGCTGCTCACCGGCGCGAACGTCTCGTCGTAGTCGGCGCCGTACACCTGTGTGAAGCACTTCACGACCAGCCTCGCCTTCTCTCGCTTGACGGTATCGTCGATGTGGTACTTCGTCGTCAACACCCACCGGTTCTTCATGACGTTCACCCCCGGCGGGCGATCGACCAGCTCCCAAGTGCCCATGTTGATGAGGCTATGAATCTCCTCCTCCATGGCGGCCTTCACCGCCGGGCCCTTCCAGCTTGCCAACGCCTCCTTCACCGTCATTGTCGAGATGTCCCAACGGTGCTCGGGGTCGGCTAGCATGTCGGGAACGAGCTCTGGAAACTCTTCATCCTCCTCGGCGTCGTCGTACAGCAGGTCGTCGTCATCATCGCCCACGTCGTACACCGTGGTGAAGGCAGCGGGGACGAAGAAGTCAGGCGGCCTCCGAAGTCGGCCTGAACGCCGTGGTCCTGGCTGGACCTCCTCGGCATCCCCTCCATCGTCGCTGTCGTCGCTGCCCTCGGCGTCCTGCTGCTCCTCAGCCGGCGTCCCATCCGACTACTCCCCTGTGGTCGGCTCCCCTACCGGCTGCTCCTTGGTTGGCGTCACTGCTGCCTGCTCCTTTGTCGGCCGCTGCTCCTCGACCTGCTTCTCGAACTGCTCCTCCCCTGTCGACGTCGACTGCAATCCCACGTCGACCTGCCGCTCATCACGTCGGCCACCGGCGATGCACTTGGCCAAAGGCGACGTCCCACTACTCCCCTCATCGCCGGAGGCCGACACCGTGGTCAGCCCACGCAGGTCGGCCACGAGGGGAGGGGCAGGGGTTGGAGGGGGAGGGGTAGAAGGGCGGACGTCCTCGACGTCCTCAGTAGCAAGCTCACCGACCTCGGCAAGCAGCGGCAGCGTCGCCGACGAGATGTCAGAGGGCGGGGTGGACGACGAGCGGCCGGACACCGGCCCATGCTCCGTCTTCCACTCGGCCAGCGACATCTCCTCGTAGAACACCACGTCCAACGTGGTGACCACCCGGTCGGTGTCGACGTCGAGGAGCTCCCAGCCCTTGCTCGCCGCCGACACGCCAAGGTGCAGGCCCCACCTGGCCTTCGGCTGCAGCTTCCCACCACGCTGCTGCTCGGGGACTAAGAACTGCGCAATGCAGCCCCACACCCGCGCCAGCGACAAGTCGGGCTTTTTCCGGTCAGCAGCTGGTACGGCATCGTCCCCGGCGGCAGCGTCGACCTCTCAAGGTAGTTGCGCACCCAGACGGCCTGCCGGAGAGCGAGGTGCCACCAGTGGTGCTGCACGCCCATGTGCAGCAGCATTGTCCGCACCGACTCCACCACTGTCCTCATCTCCTGCTCCGCCATGCCGTTCTGCTGCGGGGTGTATGGGCAGGTCAGGTCGTGGACGATCCCCTTGCCGTTCACGAAGTCGGTGAACTGCTTCCCGAGGAACTCCCCTCCCCGGTCAGAGCGCAGCATTAACACCGACTTCTTCGTCTGCCGCTCAGCCACCGCCAGCCACTGCACGAACACCGGCAACGCATCTGACTTCTTGGTGACCAACTTCACCCAAACGTAGCGGGTCTTGCGGTCCTTCAGCAGCAAGAAGTACAGGCTGCCGTCCTTGGCACCCACGCGGAAAGGCCCGCACAGGTCGATGTGCACGACGGCCAGCATGTCGTCGGCGTCGGAGCCTTGGTCGGGGAAGGTGTGCCGCGCCAGTTTCCCGCCGACGCACGAGACACACGGCCGACACACAAGACACCTCCCCTGCTGCTGAGACGAGTAGCATGCCGTCTCCGTCCTCCTGCAGCTTCACACCGTGCTCCTTCAGTTGGCTGGCCGACAGCAGGTTGGCCCGCACACCCGGGACGTACAGCACGTCGGGGATGAGCACCTCCTTCCCGGCCTCCCCTTGCAGAGCGACTGTGCCACGGCCCTGGACGTCCTGCAGCGCCCCATTGAAGCCGCGCACATGCCTGATGGCGCCGCTCGGCTGCAGGTCGACGAAGGCTTCCTTTCGTCCCCATCAGGTGGTGGGAGCAGCCGCTGTCGAGCAGGACCACCGCCGGGTTCGCGTGCACTGCTGCCGCCACCGCCTGGAAGTCCTCTCCGGCCTCCGGTGCCAGAGAGATGGTCGGCTCCACGACGCCGACCAGCGAGCACGACGCCGTCTTGTCGTCTCGCCCCTTGCCGCCTGCAGCGGAGTCGGTGTCCTTCGCCGAAGTCGATGTCTTGGTCGACTGCTTCTCCTTGCACAGCTGGTTTCCTCCACGACGAGGACGTCGGCTGCCAGACCTCCCACGGCCTCCCTTAGTGTCGTCGTCGTCGGAGTCACTGCGGTTGGGACACTCGAAGGAGAGATGGCCGGGGTCGCCGCACAGCCAGCATTCCTGTCGTCGACCTCCTCCCCCTCGACCGTTGTCCTTGGTCGACTTCTTGTCGACCTCCTTGGCCGGCTTCCAGCCACTGTTACTGCCGTCGCCCAACTGCCCACGCTGTCCTGGTCAGCCTCCTTGCTTCGCCGAGGCGACGAAGTGGGCCTGCGCCAAGAGTTCCTATGACTGCTCAGCCTCCTGCATCGCCTCATCCTGCAGGATGTACGAGGTCAAATTGTCCTCGTTGAGCGTCGACCTCGTGCTCGGCGCCATGGACATCCGCTTCAGGAGGTTATAGCTGCTAGAAAGTCCCTGCATGACATAGGTGATGTACGACGCCGTGGAGTACTGCGCGCCGGCCATTCTGATTGTGGCGAGAATTCGCCTGGCTTGGTTGCAGTAGTCGGTCGCACTCTCCTCGTCGCCCATACGCAGGTGTGTTAGCTGTCCCTCCAGCTGGGCGATGAACAGGTCGTCGGTGACCTTGTACGTCGACTCAATGAAGTGCCACGCCCGGTGGCCGGCGTCGATGTACTCCCGGCACCACTTCAAGGCGATCTGCATGCCAGGCGAGCAGCACCGCGAGACGACCATGAAGGTCAACAGCTGCACGTTGCGAAACTCCGCCCGCAAGTCGGGGTGGTGCTCCCCCGGCGTCGCCACGGTCCCTCGGGCGAAGCCGATCAGCCCGGCCATCTCCAACTGGGGCTCGATAGCTTCCTTCCAGGTGAGAATGTCGGGTCGACCGACCAGTGGGGGGGTGACTGAGATCCTGTCCGGCGTGAACTTGAGGTAGCCGTAGCTCGGCGCAATCCCACCTGCCGTCACCTGGGACGCCGACATCGGCGATAGCCCACTCCGTCGACCTCCGACGTCACCCCGCAAATAGCCTGCAGCCGCCGACGACTGCATCCCTCGCGCCTGAACGCCGCCGACTTCACCGGCGTGTATCACACCTCTCTGCCTCGACGTGCCTCCAGCACTGCTGCCGACTTGACCACCACCGGCGTTGACGCCCACGTCGACGCCGCCTTCGTTGTTCACCGGACGAGGAGAGGCAGGTCGAGACGGGTGCTCCGTCGCCCACATGGAGCGGAGTCCAGCCTCGACGACCGGCCAGGGCAAGTCGCCATACTCGTTGGCCTCGTGCTTCCTCCTCGCGTTCTCCAACCGTGCCTCTAGGGTGTCCACCACCCCCGCGTCACCTACGGCTCCTACCATAGTGACTACCGCACAGTTGCCGGCCTGCAACTACGAAATAGGTAAGTGGTGTCTACGTCGACATGACTAAAAGGTAAGTCGTGTGCCGTCCACGCTCACCGCACCATGCGGAGATAACTGCTACAACGGGAGCTAGGCTACGGGCTAGGCACGTGTGCTCGTGTGATCTCTGCGTTCGTTAGTAGTCATTTTCCTTGTGCGCACACTACTTGCTAGTTCACGGGGAAAGTTGGCAAGAGTTCCACTAGGAAAAGTTCATAAAAAAAGGTACAATGAAGTTGGCATAGCAAGACTACATCAGAGCAAGCATTCAGGTCGGCCAACTGCCAGCGCAGCTTGGTCGACTGCGTTCCAGCACGACTTGGTCGACCGTGCTCCAGCAAGGCAAGGTCGACGGCGTGCCAACATCGCAGGTTGACGGCGTGCCAGCGTTGCTCACGCAGGACAGCAGTGCACCCGCTTCGCAGGTGCGCGCAGATGATTGGCATGCAGAGTCCCGTCACCTGCACAGCGCACACACCACGTCAACCTCGAGCTAACGTTTGCCTCTGATCCGCCATGACGACCTCGGGATACCACCACCGAGGTCGGGCTTGCCAACTTCGCTTGGGCGACCGTCGCACTCCTCCGCAGCACTTCGTCACCCAGGTAACCTGGTCGACCGGGCAACCATGTTGACCAGTAGCTCCCGTACGTGCCCGTCGACCTCCCAAGTCGACGACCACCTCCATCAGTCGACCTCCTCCAGGTCGACGTTCCTTCTGGTCGACCAGCTCCACGTCGACCAGTACTCCTGGTCGACCTGCTCCTCATCGACCAGCATAGTCGTCGTCACGAAGTTGACGCCCCGCTACCCGACACCCAGCTGCTCGGCGTCCTGAGTCGAGGTCGACGTCGGCCCCTCCTTCGTCGACCACCAGGTCTAGTCGACAACCCGCAGGTTGACCAGCAGTCCGTCAGCCAACCACCGAAGTCGGCTTCCCCAAGCTGACGTCACCAAGTTGACGTCCTCCGCAGGTCGACTCCCAAGTCGACCTCCCCGAAGTTGGCGCCCGTGCAGTGGTCCCCGTGCAGGTCGACCTCCTCGTCAACCAGCTCGCCCACTGCTGCAGGTCGGCTGCTCCCCTCACACCCGACCACGATGTCGGCTCCGCCCAAGCGAGGACGGGGCCAACACACAACTCCCGTTGACAGGAGCAGGTCATCCGGGTGTGGGACGTGGTGGAGGAGCAGCACGTGCTCAAGTGGCTGCGCCGCCTGGAGGGAGGCCTTGGAACCTACTCTCACGAGTCGCTCGACCGCTGTGCGCACTGTGATGACCACCTTGCTCGCAAGGTGCAGCCGCTGCAGTTCCGGAAAGACCCGGGGTTTACATGACACCGGGCTAAGGCATCGTCACTCGATGTAGCTGCTGAAGAAGGTACGATTGGTTGGTTCAAGTGGTTAGAAATGTCCAGTGAGCAAAATAACTCTTTTCAGTAGAAGGTGTGCTCGTTGTCTAATGCACTGGTTTCTTTCCTTCAGTTGATGTTTAGATTGGTTTGTCCCTGTCCCCTTCACCTGTCCACTTACTCTTGTACTTGTCTCCTCCCTCCCCTCCCTTACACTTTCCCTCCCTTCCTCTCTCCCTCCCTCCCTCCCTTCCCTCCCTCCCTTGCTCCCTCCTCCCTTCCCTCCCTCCCTCCCTTCCCTCCATCCCTTCCCTCCCTCCCTCCTCCCCGCCCACCAGAGAGCGCCCTGGAGCGAGCACCAGTGGACGAGAGTGTGCTGCTGATGAAGTTCTACCAGCTGTCGTTGGGGTCGGCGCGGCAGCTGCTCACAGCAGCGCAGGGCGAGCTGCCCTTCGAGGTGAACGAGCAGGAGGCGCTCATCGTGCACTACTTGGGGAGCCTCTTTGTGCTCGGCCGCTCCGGCACCGGCAAGACCACCATTTTCACCCACCGCTTGCTGCGCCTGGAGCGGATGTTTCTTCGAGCCATGGGGGAGCGTGGCCAGTTGGGTCCTGCTGTGGAGACTGGGAGTGGGGTTAGTGGGAGGGGAAGCGCGGTTCGTGCGCGCGTGGGGGGAGAGGGAGGACGAGGGAAGGCGGTGGGTGAAGGGAAGGGGGGTAGAGAGGAAGGAGGGGAGGACGGGGAGGGCAGGGAAGCGAGGGGTGTGGGGACGCTGCGGCAGGTGATTGTGACTCTGAGCTCGAGGCTGTGTGCTGCGATTCGCCACCACGTGTACAAAGTTAGACGGTGAGTGCTTTGAAGGGTTGTGCTGTTGTGTGTGTGAATGGGGATGGCTTGACTGGGTGGGGATGGCGTGATAGGGTGGAGATGTGAATGGGGATGGCGATGGGACGCTATCTTCACGCTCCAGTGTCGCTCCTTCCCTTCTTCCCCCTTTCCCCCACCCCACCCGACTGTTTCCAACTCCTTTTCTCTCCAAGGACTCTGCCACCCTCCCATCTATTACTCAAGCAGCCTCCTGTTCCAATTTCGATGTATCCTTTCACTTACACAACCACCCCCTTATGCTCTCGCTCACACTTTCGCGCATGCTCTCACTTACTCCCACGCATTCGCTAACTAACAGCTATGTGTTCATCCCTGTGTGTCCTGTCTTGTCTCTATCAGAACCATGCTGGAAGCAGATGCCATCCTCCCTGCCGGCACCGCACCTCCAAACACAGCCGCGGGCGGGCAGGAGCAGGAGCAGCAGCAGGGAGAAACAGGGGAGGTGGAGGAGCTTTTACTATCGGAAGAAGCAGAGGAGAAACTCGTGGGAGATTTGCCCGAGTCTCTCGACGAGGTGCAGCCTGATGCCTATCCCCTAGTGCTGACTTTCAAGAAGCTTCTCAACATGGTCAATGCCACGCTGGCACGGCCGTTCCAGCCGGACGGGGTGAAGGCTGGTGGTGGGTGGCATGGGAAGACGGCGACGGGTGGTGGGTGGAAGAGGGGGGAGTATAGGGCTCAGGGTGCTGGGGAGAAGGGTGGCAATGGCAGTGACGTCGATGGGAGCGAGTATTTTTCACAGGATGGTGATGATGAAGATGAAGAGGAGGAAGAGGAGGATGAGGATGAAGAGGATGAGTGGGGCCCATCGTACCATCAGTCACACTGGCACAGGGATAGGGCGCAAGGCACAAGGGGAGCCAGCAGCAACAACGCCGGCTACAGCACCACTGGGGTGCTGTCTCTACCTGAAGAGGTGGACTATGACCGTTTCGAGTCCCTCTATTGGCCTCATTTCAACACATCCGTGACTCGCAAGTTCGACGCCTTGCTGGTCTACAAGGAGTTCTTCTCGCACATCAAAGGCTCCCTGCACGCCCTCAGGTCGCCCCGGGGGCGCCTGTCTCAGGAAGCATACGTAGCCCTCTCACACACCCGCACTTCAAGCTTTGATGAGGCGCAGAGGGAGGTGATCTATGGGCTGTACTCGCAGTATGAGAGGATGAAGCGGCAGAGGAGGGACCACGATCTATGTGATTATGTGTACCACGTGCATAGGGAGCTGGCACGAGGAGCCACTAGGATCTGCACGCCTGCTTCTCTTGCTGCTGCAGCTGCCACTACTGGCACTGCTGCCAACGCTGCTGCCATGGGCGCTGCTTCTCGTGCCACCAACAGGTCTGTTGCCTCTCGCGGTGGCGGTGGTGGTGGAGATGACAAAGTTCGCTGTGGCCCGCCCTTCCAGTATGTGTATGTGGACGAGGTGCAGGATTTGACCCAGGCGCAGATAGCCATCCTGTGCTTCCTCTGCGCCAACACCTCTGATGGGTTTGTCTTTGCGGGGGACACGGCGCAGACCATTGCGAGGGGGGTGGATTTCCGGTTTCAGGACATCCGGAGGCTGTTCTACGAGCTGTTTCTGGGGAGGAAGGTGGATGTCGTGGGGGATGCAGGGAGTGAGGGGGTGGAGGGCGGAGGAGGTGGGGGTGCTAGCAGTGGTGGTGCTGCTGGTGGCGCGGGGGAGAGAGAGAGTGGGACAGAGGAGGGGCGCGGACGGGAGAAGCAAGGGAGGTGGGCAGGGGCAGCAGCCGCGCGAGGCAAGCACAAGGTGTCTGGCAAAGGGAGGAGGATGCTCGAAGAGGTGGGGAGTGGAGCAGCAGCAGCGTCAGCAGCAACACTGACTGTGGGTGCAGCACAGGGCTCAGACAGGGACAGAGCAGAGCAGAGCAAGGGGGAGACAAGAGGAAAGGCAGGCGCAGCAGCCCAAGAGCGATCATCCCGCACAGAAATGCCGGATCTCTTCTTCCTCTCACAACGGCATAGTGCGTCTGGCTGATAGTGTGGTGCGCGTGCTGCTGCACTTCTTCCCCCACGCTGTGGACCGCCTTGCACCGGAGTTCAGCCTCATTGATGGGGAGGCGCCCGTGTTCCTGGATGCTATGGAGGGAGACGATATCGTCACGCAGCTGTTTGGGAAGAAGGGCGCGATTGGTGGCGGAGGGTGCGAGTTTGGAGCAGAGAAGGTAGGGTGCCATGGACTGAGCAGGAGGGGGGTGGGGGGGGGTGGTTGCAGAGACAATGAAGGGAGTTGGGAGAGGAGGGGGCACAGAGAAGTGATGGATGTTTGGCCAACCTGGTCAAGAACGTGAGTATTCTTTTTCTTGTGCCGTGTGTTTCACTTGCTTTCTGGTGCTATTGAGCCATCTGATGTTCCCCCTCCTGCTGATTTCCTCCCGCTGATTCTTTTCTGCTGATTCCCTCCTTCTACGACCTCCCCTCCTGGCTTGCATCAGGTCATATTGGTGCGCGATGCGGAAAGCTGCACAGAGCTGGTGAAGCGGATCGGGTCAAAGGGACTCGTGCTCAGCGTGCACGAGTGCAAGGGGCTGGAGTTCCATGTGAACTCACTCTTCATCACCGCATTGGGGGGATAAAGTTCTTGGTAAACCGTACCATCCTCCCTTGTCATGCACTTCCATGGAACTCCTTCCCCTTTGCTCTAGCTTCAACAAGTCTCTGAATAACGTAATCCCCGCTGCTAGAACGATCACTCCCTCATTTTCCACAGACATCTCCTATTTATCCATAACCCATTTCTCTCCCACCCAACCCCTTTCACCCATTTATCCCCTCCACTCCGCTCTCCCCAGGATGCCCTGGTGTACAATTTCTTCTCGGGCTCGCCTATGGCGTCCAGCTGGCGGCTGCTGTACCACTACATGCGCGACCACTCGCTCATCCCCTCCGCTGAGGACGGCTCTGGCCGCTGGCAGTGCCCCTCCTTTGACCCCAAGCGGTGCGTGGTTGTGAAGAATGCCAAGAATTTGTTTCCATGGTGCTAACATTGCATTGTTTAGCCATAAAAGCAAACTCACATTCTACTCTTCCACTAATATTTGCACCCACTGTCTTCCCTCTGTGCCTCCTTCCGCTTATTCCCATCATTACCTCACAGCCCCTCCACTCCCCTTTGCTTCCCTCGTTTCTTATTTGTTCTCCTTTCTGAAACACACAATCTCCTTTACACCTGACTGGAGTAACACGACTCAACTCGTTTCCATTCCAGCTCACTCACATCACAGCATCTCCCCCACTCTCTTCTCTTCCCCCCATCCTCACCAGGCACAACCTCCTGTGCAGTGAGCTGAAGCAGCTATACGTGGTGCTAACACGAGCGCGGCAGCGGCTGTGGATATACGAGGAGGACGAGGGGGCGAGGCGGCCGGCCATGGACCTGTGGGGAGCCATGGGCGTGGTGGCAGTGAAGGCACTCACGGCCGACCTTCTCATGTCCATGCACACAGAATCGTCGCCCGAGGGGTGGCATAAAAGGGGCACTAAGGTGAGATCTGAGTTGAGCCAATTAGAAGAGTATGGAAGGCGCGGGACGGGGAAAGAAAAGATTCATATTGTTTCCTTGCCACTCATCTTAACCCCACCCCTCCCCCGCACTTCCTGTCCGTCCTTTGTCTCCCCCCTCCCTTTATTTCTCCGACATTCACTTACCACTCCGCTCTCTCCACTCTCATCTGCCTCCTGCCTCTCCCATCTTGCCTCTCCGATCTTGCCTCTCCCATCTTGCCTCTCCCATCTTGCCTCTCCCATCTCGCCTCTCCCATCTCGCCTCTCCCCTCTCCCCTCTGCCTTATTCCCTCTGTAACTGCCTCCAATCTGCTGCTCCCTTCTCTCGCAGCTGTTCAACGCAGCCCAGTTCGAGGCAGCAGTGCTCAGCTTTGAGCGAGCAGGCGACGAGCACAGTGCAGCGGTGGCACGGGCAGCGCTGCTGCAGCAGACAGCCAAGAGGCTACAGGGCACGGACCCCAAGAAGGCCAGCAAGATGTTTCAGGACGCCGCAGACGCGTTTCTGAAAGTGGACAAGCCGAGGGATGCCGCCCGGTGCTTGATCAGTGCGGGCAAGATGAAGCAAGCAGGTGAGGAACGGTGGAGTGAGGTGGATGAGATAGGGGGAAGGGACGTGAAGGAAGAGGGCAGGGGTGGTTGAGAGGAGGGCAGTGACATGACCTGAGAGGCGTGTTTGAAGGAGAGATCTGGCTGCTGTTTCGCTTGCTTGAAGAGCTGTATATGATTCCTCTCCCTCCCTGTCTCGTCCTTCCACCTTTCTTCCTTTTCAACACTCACTTGTGAAGGTGGTTATCAGTGATTTGTAACACTCTTTGATCTGCTTTCATACGTCCTCCTTTCTCCCGGGGCACCAACCAGGCGATGTGTATCGGGACAGGTGTGTGCCACCCATGTGGGTGAAATCAGGGGAGTGCTACGAGCTCGCAGCGATGGCAGAGGAAGCAGCACAGTGCTTTGCACAAGTGTGGGAGGTGGAGAGGGCGCTGCTTGTGTGAGCACAGAACCGGCTGTACACTCTCGGAGTGTCCCTGCTGCACGTGTGGCAGGGACAGGTTGAGGAGGGAATGAGAGCAGTGAAAGTAAAGCAAAACCAGCAAGGCCAGCAGCTGCAGCAGCAGAAGCAGGAGGAGGAAGAGGAAAAGAAGTGGAAGCAGCGAGAAAGGCTGGTCATTCGAAAGAACGCAGAGTTCCTGCAGCAGGCTGCTATGTTATACTATCGCAAGAAGAACACGAGCGAGGTGATGATATTTGTGCATCAGCTCCCCTCGCTGGCAAAGAAGCGGCAGTTCCTCGAGAGGCGAGACTTCTTCGGTGAGTTGCTCCAGATTGAGATAACTGAGGGGAATTTCCAGCGGGCAGCTGAAATGATGCTCAAGAAAGGAGACATGGTTGGGGCAGCAAGAATGTTTCTTGGGCAGAAGGAATGGGGGCCGGCGTTTGAGTGTGCGATGGGTGCGGCTCGTGTCGTGAGCATGTGGGCGAATCAGAATAAGGGATGGCCATTGAATGTTCGGGAGCGGAAGCAAGAGAAGGTTGAGAAGCAAGAGGTGATAGCGGAGACCAGGAAAGCCAAATTGCCGCTAGGATTGGGAAAGGAGGATGAGGGAAAGAGGGTTAAAGTGAAAGCAGAAAACGGTGAAGCTGTTCCAAACGCATGGGAGGCGAGGGCTGATGCGGATGAGAGTGAAACAGAAGTCCAGGGCAAGATAGACGCTCCAGAGGGAGGGGGAAAGCAGCAGAAAGCGGAAACGCAGGAGAAAGCGGAAAAGCAGGAGGGCGTGGAGAGGAATGTAGGTGAAAATATAGATGCGACTATGGATGCGCTGGAGACAGCTGTTGCCTTGTGGGTGTGGGAGAGGAAGGACAGGGAGCAGGGAAAGGACGTGAAAGATCTAGAAGAGGGGAGTTCAGTCGGATTGGGGATTCAAGGACTGGGTGGGGTGTCAGGGAGGGAGGGCGGGGAGGTGGATGAGAGGGAGGGCTTGGAGGCTTTCACGCTGCTGTGGCTGCGGGATTTCCACGCTCTGGCCAGTGCAACTGGGCGTGGGAGGCAGGTGGACTCGGGTGGGGAAGAGATGGACAAATGGTGGCAGCTGCTGATTCGGTGCCGTGCGGATGAGCTGCTTGGTATGGTGGGTGCGATGGGGAAAGGCGCTCTGGGAGGTGAGTCTGCAGGGCAAGCGGGGGTGGTACCCGAGGAAGGGGAGGAAGAGGAGGAGGATTTGGGATTGGGTGAAAGGAGTCTTGCTGCTGAAGTGCTGGTGAGCTGGAAGGGTCTCTTGTTGAGCATCCAGCGAGCCAAAGCATCTCTTTCTCATCACGCCAGCACCTCCCTTCCTCGCTCAAGTGCCACACCCTCTGCCCCAATACTCCCTTCTCCCGCCAAGCCTGCTGCTAACCAGCCCTCTCGGCCATCGCCTGGAGCAGCAGCAGCAGTTGTGACTCTTCGGCCCGAATGGCAGGCAGTAAACCAAGGAGCTCCACAGCAGTTGCAGCAGCAGGAGCAAGCGCAGAAACAGAAGCACCAAGAGGAGTTGCCGTTTGAGGTGGAATGGAGGGAGGTGAAGGTGTGGTGGGGGCGGTGGAGTGAAAGAGTTGCAGCCATGGTATCAGCACTGCAGAGACTGCAGAGGCGCAGAGAGCTACCCTCATATGCGCCCTGGCTAGATGCCACCTTCCACCTGCTCGCTGTCTCCTCCCCTGCTTCCTCCTCCTCCTCCCACTCCACCTCCCACGTTCTCGCCTCCTCCTCTGCCCAGTCCTTTCTGGTCGGCCTGTCATCTGCTCATTGGCTGAACCCTGTGCAAGCAGCAGTTAGCCACCTGCCGGATCAGGGCACGCGGGGGGAGGTAGCAAGAGAGGCTGCAGCCAGGGCAGGTGCTATCTACTGGGCAAGGCAGGCAAGTGAGATGGTCAAGGAATGTGCGGCTGTGATGCAGCAAGCTATGAGATCTCTGGAGAAGGGTTTGCTCGGTAGGAGGGAGCGTGGTGCGGCAGGTGATAAGAAGCGAGCCAGAGAGCTGCACTTGCAGCTTGAGCTTTGGGTGGAAATCCACGCGTTGCTTCAGTTTGCAATAGATTTGTGTGGGGGTGGGAGGCAAGAGCAGAATCTGCAGCAGGGAGAGGAACAGAGCAGCCAGGTGCAAGGGGCAGGCCGGGTGGGTGAGGAGGGGGGGATAGCGCAAATGGCAGGGGACGTGGAGATATGGAAAGAACAGCAGGAGAGAGCGACCTTGTGGCTGCTCTTGTTGCTCTTCCCTGTGACGAGCCCTCTCCCTCGCTCCGTGGCATTTGTGGTGGCACGGTGGAGGGAGGATGCGCGAGCACGGACCTTGATGCGCTAGTGGGCTTGCTCGTGTGTCCAGAGTTGTGTGGTGGAAGGGCAGAAGAAGCAGCGGCGACTAGAGGAGGAGCGGCAGAGGGAGGAGGAGCACCGGTAGAAGGAGGAGAAACGGCAGCAGCAGGAGGAGGAGGAACGGCAGAGGGAGGAGGAGCAACGGCTGCAGCAGGAGGAGCAGCAGCAGGAGGGGAGGGATGAGGATGAGGAGGACGAGGAGGTGCAACAGCAGCAGCAGCAGCAAGAACTCATAGACCCGTTGGTTCCTCTAGGATCGTTCGCCCAGCTGATGCAGGTGCTGCCGTATCTCGGGTCATGGTGGATCCGTAGGGAGTGCCAAGACTTGATAGCGCTGATGCCGCCCACGAGAATGGATGTGTGTGCTCAAATGCTTCAGGGGGCGCAATAGGAGCTTGAGGGCCAGTCTCTTGCACTCCAGGAGCTCTCTTTTCTCCTTGGATCTGTGGCACTTGACATGTGGGGCGTCGCCTTGAACCATGTTTACAAGGTGAGTGCTGCTATTGGGCGATGTTACATTGGTCTTGGTTGTACCTATTTATATTGCGTTTCTAATTTGAGTCACTGTCGGAAAAATTGGAGTTGTTGAATGAATTTTGAGCTGGTCATTTCAAAATGTGACAAACCATCTGGTATAATTCTATGCCCTTTTCCTGTCCTTGCACTGTCTGTGAGTGGTTGCTTGCAGTGGTGCTACTGGGATGTGAATGGTTTCGTTTCCTTTCCAGTGTTCCTCAGCTTGGCAGAAAGAGCAGCAGTCCATACGTGTGCAGCCATCACGAATCTGGAGAATCTCGTCATTCCCACCTCCCTCGCTTCCCTCCACCTAGAAGGCCAGCACTACTCCAACCTCTGCACCCACATGCTTATGTGGTCTTCGAATCGAAACCCTTCTACTCTCGCTGAACGTTCTCTCGCCTCTCCTTGATACCCTCATCCGCTTCCTCGTGTTTGAGCCAGAGAACCTAATTTGGTGGCCGATCAGGAGTGGTGTGGCTCCAGCGGAACGTGGCTCCCTCTTCCTCCGCCTCCTTGTTCTTGTTGCCGTCTCTGTCTGCAATGTCGACCGTCACCACGGCCATGAGTTCTTCTCCTACCTTGTAGACCACCTCCTGATCCTCTTCTCCCCTCTCGACCGGCTCCCCAACCCGCTCATCTCCACCCTTCCTCCAAAACTATACTACGATCTCAAGAACATGTTCAGGAGGGATAAACCCGCACCAGGTCCCAACTACTTTTACCAGATGCTAACCCGTAACATGCGCGCCATGCAAGACCCTTTGGTGGTGCTTCGGCTGCAGGGGTCTTGGAGTATTCCAGCCTATGAATGGAAGGCCAGCCTGCCGTACTTAGATGTTGAGTTCACCCCGGAAGTTGCTGCTCATGCTGCTGCTGCTGGACGTGTAAATGGAGGGCAACAGTGCTTCTCAGTGTTTTCTCTTTAGAATCTGACAGGGTACCGGGTTCCACTGCTGGGTGGTAACACTGAGAATGCAGCCGATGCTGTTGCGGCCGCTGCTGTTGATGAGGAGGAGGATGGCGGTGCTGGTGATGGTACGGTTGGTGAGGAAGGAGCTGGTGCTGAATCTGGTGCCGGAGCCGACTCAGACTCAACAACAGAGGCAGCGGTGGCACCTCAAAGCGGAGAGAGTCTAGAGCAGGGGGATGAGTGGGGTGGTGATGAAGAGGGGAAGGCAGGTACAGTTGGTGGTGCTGGGAAGCACGTGGGGAAGGAGTTGAAGAATGCGCAGCTGCAGACCGACGAGCGGGAGGAGGTGGACGGTGTCAAGATCGCGCTGAGGATCACACAGCAGCTGCGCAGCTGCCTGCACCAGGTAGGAGAAGCTCAGGCTGTATAAGCAGCAGCTTGCCTTGTTAACTTCCCCTTGCTGACTTCCCCTTGTTGATTTCCCGTTGCTGATTGTTTCAGTTCGGTTAATGTGTGCCTTTCGATGCCAACCCATGGCTTGGCTGCATGCTTTGCTTCATCCACCCTGTGCTAGTGTAACGTAGACCAGAATCATTTCTTCATCGTCCCATCAACTGCCATTTCCTTCCGAGCAATTTTGTAGAGCTTTCAGAAACCGCTCCATTTCCTTCCGAGCAATTCTGTAGAGTTTTCAGAAACCGCTCGTTCTTTCCTTTGCAACTGTCCTCCTTCAGGCTCGTGAGCGGCTGCACGAGGACTTGTCCCCGCTCCAGCAGTGCAGCAGGGAGGCACGGAGGGCGTTGACTCTCAAGCTTCAGTCCGTCAGTGCAAGCTAGCGCGCCTTTTACCTCAAGGAGTACAAGGAACATGCGTGCCCTTTGAAGGTGCGCACTTCAGCTCTCTCTGTTCCCTGCACTTCTGTCTTGCTTTTGTTTTCTGAAGTTTTTTAGCCCGCTCAGAAATCCACATTGGATAAGGTGGTCAGCTATATTCTTGAGGTCCTTTCATAGTCATTTTTCTATGGTCTGCTTCCCATGTTGTCTTGACCCGGCAACCCTGCCATCGCTGCTCTCTTTCCGTCTCCTTGTCGTCTTCATCGTCCTCTGTTGTCATCTTGATCTCACACCATGCCGTCTACTCAATCGTCACCTGTGCCCGATTCCGCGTCACTGTTACAGGTTGACATGGACGCGTTTCTGGCCCTGATTCAGGAGGGTGTGAGGCAGCTGAAGCAGCTGCTGCAGCAGGGGGGCTCGGGCACAGGACAGGGCCAGCAGGAGCGGAAAGGGCAGGGGCGTGGGTGGTCAGAGGAGGAGGCGGAGAAGCATGAGCAGCTGTTGGAAGAGGCTCTGGATGCAGAAGAATCACTTGCGGCTGCAACCAGTGCCGTCCACCATTCGTACGCTTCCATTCTTATCCTCTTCATACTCTTCTCATCTTTTCCTCATCCTCCTCCGCGTCCTCTTCCCCATCCGCGTGTCATCGAGCCATGCCTTGCTTATCATTCAATCTCAATCCTTCTATCTGCCCCATGTTGTGTATGCTTCCAAGACGTAGTACACTCGTTTGTCCGAGCTTCCATAATGCCCTATCGCATCCTCTCATCGTTATTATGACGGTTCATCTCACCCCATTCTTACCGCACCATTATGCCCTGTGTCCTATTCTTATCGCACTATTATGCCCTGCGTCCCATTCTTACCGCACCCAGCCCCTCACCCTCTTCCGACAGGCACGCTGGTCATGCGTCTGCCTCTGTGAGTTGGCTCCACAGCACAGCCATTGGTCCCCTCTCCAACCTCCTCTCCCAGCACAAGGCTCTGGAGCACCGGCTCAAGCAGCTGCTGCACTCCACAGAGAAGGAAGGGGCAAGTGCACAGGGTGGTTCTGGAAAGGGGAGTGGGAGGGTGAAGCAAGAGGGAAGCAGTGGGGTGCAGGAGCCTGGAGGAGGGAAAGGGAAGGGGAAGAAGGGAGCGGGCCGCAGTGGAGGGAAGGATGGTGGCAAAGGAGGGAAGAAGCAACGAGGGGGCAGGTCAAGGAGGCGATATTGATCAGTTGTTTCAGTACTAGTCGTTAATGTTCAGACCTGTAGAGCAAGTGTGGGGGCAAATCGTGCATGTGCAGGCACTGTCTGTGCAATGCAAACATTGCATTTCAATCAGGTCAAGGTAGCCATTTGCAATTCAGTGTGATGTGAGATGTGGCGACACAAATTGGATCACTGTAGCAAATAACATCTGAGATTTTCTCAGGCAAGTTGCATGCCATGCTCCATTCTTCAAGCTCCAGATATTCAGCTCCGCATCTCTGTCTGGGTTGCCTCCTGTCATACACAGAAGCTACTGCTGGTGAAGATGGTGTGGGAGTGGGAAGCATTGAGGTGGAAGCATTAGTGAGGAACGTTGTGGTCAGCAGGGGTGTTTGAGCCCAAGTAAGCATGCATCATGTCTTCTCTTGTCTCAATCAAAATGCCTTTCGAATGGCCATAAGCAAGCCACTGTAACTCAAGTACACCACACCACCATATACCACGATTCTCTTATGCGTGATGACAAGTTCTGGTTTGTAGGATAGCTCGTAGTAGAATATACATGATAAAGCATTTCTCACTAGTATTTTTCTCCTTTGGGACAAGTATCTATATAGCCTACACCCAAAGCCACACAGGCATGGCTCATGGAGCCTGCCCTCATGTACCCCTTGCCCAACCAGCCCGGCACCTGCTTCTGCCTGGCACATGACCATTTTCCAACTCTGCAAAAAGCAAGTTGAACCAACCACTACCATTCCATGTCTCACTCCTCCACATGCATACCTCCCCTCATTCTTCACGCCCCTTACCTCCATGCCTCTCCTCACTCTCCCCTAGACAGTCACAATCAACCCTTCCTTCACCTCACCTCCCGTTCATCATCACTCCGTGCCACCCAGCCTGCCTATCCACCTGCGCACATCATCGTTGCGAAGGCAACCCCCTTCAGTGGGCCAGAGAGCTGTCAGCTTGCTCAAGGCAGACAGATGCTGCAGCCCATCATTCGAGACTGCCGACCTACCTAGACCAAGGCTCTCTAACCCTGTCAGCTGCGCTACATTGACCATGCCAGCATTTGTCACACCTGTACATCCACCAAACTCCAAGGATTTGAGAGAGGAAAGGGGTGTCAAGTGCGCCAGACTAGCATCGTTCAGCTTAGTATCATGGAGATAGAGCTCCTTGAGACTGGCCAAGGAACCGATGCCTTCCAGGGCACTGTCTGCCATGTCTGTGCTGCTGAGGTTTAGCGTTTTCAGCAGCGGCAGCCTGTATAGGTGCTTGATGCCCATTGCACTAAAGCCTGAGCTACACGCTAAGTTAATGCTCGTCAGATGGGTCATCATGGACACATGGGCGAGCATGGTTTCTGAGAGGCCTTTGAGGTTCTTCAGGTCCAGACCGGTCTTTTGTGATGCTGACTTGATTGCCTGGCGAGAACGGCGAAGTGGGAAAACATGACAAAAAAAAGATTGACCACGGTAGCAAGAAAGAACTCGAATGCGATGCATGCCCTGTGAAACGATTCCCTCAGAACTCACCTGCCATGCAGTCTTCTGATGGCCTTCACTCTCCCTGATTTGCAGGTCAACATCCACCTTCATGCGAGCATCCTTCTGCTCAGCGAGCTCCCCCTTCACCGCTGCCAGCTCCCTCTCCCTCTCCTCCACCTGCCTTCTCATCTCCCTCATCTCAACCATTGGACTGCTCTCGCCCTCTTCGGACTGCAATGAAAAGAACTGCTTGTGCTCACCCACCTCCCCCTGTACTTCACCCACCTCCCCCTGTACTTCACCCACCTCCCCCTGTACTTTACCCACCTCCCCCTGTACTTCACCCACCTTCCTCTGTACTTCACCCACCTCCCCCTGTGCTTTACCCACCTCCCCCTGTGCTTCACCCACCTCCCCCTGTACTTCACCCACCTCCCCCTGTACTTCACCCACCTCCCCCTGTACTTCACCCACCTCCCCCTGTGCTTCACCCACCTCCCCCTGTGCTTCACCCACCTCCCCCTGTACTTCACCCACCTCCCCCTGTACTTCACCCACCTCCCCCTGTACTTCATCCAGCTCCCCCTGTAATTCACCCACCTCCCCCTTCACCTCAACCATCTTCCCCTTCAGTGCAGCCAGATCCCGCTTCACCCCTCGTACCTCCCCCTCCACATCACCCACCTCCCCCTCCCCCTTCACCTCACTCACCTCCCCCTTCACCTTCCCCACCTCCCCCTTCACCTCACTCACCTCCCCCTTCACCTCCCCCACCTCCCCCTTCACCTCACTCACCTCCCCCTTCACCTCCCCCACCTCCCCCTTCACCTCCCCCACCTCCCCCTTCACCTCCCCCACCTCCCCCTTCACCTTCCCCACCTCCCCCTTCACCTCCCCCACCTCCCCCTTCACCTCCCCCACCTCCCCCTTCACCTCCCCCTTCACCTCCCCCACCTCCCCCTTCACCGCAGCCAGTTCTGCAACGAGCTCCTCTCTCATCATTCGCATATCCTCCAGCAGCAATGCTGTTGGCTGCTTGTGCTCACCCAACTCTCCCTCTCTCTCTCCTTCACCATAGCAGCAGTCACCTCATTCCTCTCCTCCACAAAAATCAACATCTGCCGCAACTCATTCACCTCCTCCTTGTGTGCGGCCAGCTCTCCTCTCACTGCTGGCAGCACCGCCTCTTTCAAAATTTCAATCAGTGGCCCCATGGCACGCCCATTCAACTCCTGCAACTCCTTCCTCCTCTCCTGCCTCCCCCTTGCCAAATTCTCTCCCAGATCTCTCAATTCCGCTTTCCTTCTGTCTCGACCATATCCCATTGCTCTGTCATCGCGTCCTTGTGTGCATCCATCTTCCCCTTCACTGCACCCAGCTCCCCCTTCACTCCAATAAGCTCCCCTCTCATTGCTGCCAAAACTCTCCCCCTCTCCTCCAACACAGCGGCAGTCGCTACACTCCTCTCTCCCACAACACCCAGTGAGCGCTTCAACGCACTCACCTCATTCTCCAAGGCAACATTCGCCCTCTCCAGCATTAGGACTCGCACATTCTGTTGGACTTACTCCTCGCACATCACTAAGTCAACATCCATGTTCATGAGAGCATCCTTCTTCACTGCATCCAGCTCCGCTTTCCCTGCATTCACATCCCTATACCTCTCCTCACCCTGCCCTCTCATCTCCGCCACTCGTCTCCTCTCAGCCTCCTCCAACTGCAACTTAATTGCCTGCTTGTGTTCAGCGGCCTCCACTTTCACTGCTCTCACCTCCCCCTTCACTGCTACTACCTCCCCCTTTACAGCTGCCAATTCCCCCTTCAATGGAATCACCTCTCCCTTCATTGCAGTTATCTCCCCATTTGCAGCAGTCAGGTCCCACTTTAATCCAGCCACCTCCCCCTTCACTGCAGTCACTTCCCACGTCACCAAAGTCACTCCCCCCTTCACTGCAGTCACCTCTCCCTTCATTGTAGTCACTTCCCCCTTTACTGTAGTCACTTCCCCCTTTACTGCAGTCACTTCCCCCTTCACTGCACTCACCTCTCCCTTCACTGCAGTCACCTCCCCCTTCACTGCCGTCACCTCCCCATTCACTGTATTCACCTCAGACTTCAGATTTTCCACCTCAAACTTCACTGCAGTCACCATCACCTTCACTGTTGTCACCTCCCCCTTCATTGCTGCCAGCTCTCTCTCCCTCTCCTCCACCTGCCCTCTCATCTCCCTCATCTCAGCCACTCGTCTCCTCTCAGCCTCCTCCAGCTGCAATGTAGTCGACTGCTTGTGCTCACCCAACTCTCCCTTCACTGCAGCCAACTCTCCCTTCACTGCACCCAACTCTCCCCTCACTGCAGCCAACTCTCCCCTCACTGCAGCCAACTCTCCCCTCACTGCAGCCAACTCCCCCGTCACTGCAGCCAACTCTCCCTCCATCTCCTTCACCACAGCAGCAGTCGCCTGATCCTTCTGTCCCACAGCAATCAACATGTGCCGCAACTCATTCACCACCCTTTCGCGTTCAGTCAGCTGCTCTCTCACTGCTGCCAGCACCGCCTCCTTGACCACGTCAATTAGTGGCCCCACCGCTCTCTCAACAGCCATTTCATCCATTGACTCCCCTCAATCAACTGTTGCTCAATGACCGACCCCTGCGTTCAACTGTCTTTTACACTACAGACTGGTGAAAGCAGACACGCCTGGGAAGGGCAGGGTAGAGAGTCTTTCGAGAAAACAGAAACGTAAAAGAAAGATGGAGAATGCACGAGGTGAGTGGACACACGAACAAGACCAATTACACGGGCGTGAGAGATGAGTGTGATGTGAGTAAGAAGGCATATAAAGAGCAGCAGAAGAGGGGCACTTGATGAAACGATGAGGGAGAATGGGCTGAGCACATGTCTGGGTCAAAAAAAAGCTTGTGCATCTGGCATGAAGTCAGTTTGGCATGGGGAGTCTGTGAGAAGCAGATAAAACAAGACTTGTGAACGACACGCACGGTGACACTGCAAATGGGTGCAGCAAGGCAGAAACGGATGCACAGGATGAAGGGCATAGAGCCGCAGAGTGCATAGCATAGGGTGATAAGAATACTAAGCAGAGAGAAGCGGCGACTTTTAGAACCAGTGAAATGACACCACAACCACAACCAACCAGCGAGAGGAACTAGAGAATACAGACACGGGAGAAAATGACCAGGTTGAAGAATATGACACGGGAGAAAATGACCAGGCTGAAGAATATGACACGGGAGAAAATGACCAGGTTGAAGAATATGACACGGGAGAAAATGACCAGGTTGAAGAATATGACACGGGAGAAAATGACCAGGTTGAAGAATATGACACGGGAGAAAATGACCAGTTTGAAGAATATGACACGGGAGAAAATGACCAGGTTGAAGAAAATGACACGGGAGAAAATGACCAGGTTGAAGAATTTGACACGGGAGAAAATGACCAGGTTGAAAAATTTGACACGGGAGAAAATGACCATGTTGAAGAATTTGACACGGGAGAAAATGACCATGCTGAAGAATTTGACACGGGAGAAAATGAGAAATCTACTACGTTGGTGGACTTGCACCTGGGTGAGGTTGAGCTAGGGTGGGTCGTATGATGCAAGGCTCATGGTGAACCCGACAGCTTCCCACGAGCCTTTCTGGCTTGGGCATTACTATATCTGAACTTCACGATTTGATGGTTGAAAACAACCGAACAATTTGGGCACTCATGGTTGAGAAACTACTTAGTTCGAAACGAACTGAACCGCCGGATCGAAGTTCATTTCTTTGCTCATGACTAGTCTGCGTGAGCAATGGCCAGGTCACACCAGGCTCGCCGCTGTTGAACCATTACAGGCATAATGCGGTTCGGTTCCTTTTGGCTCGGCTCGGTTGGGGAGAGGTGAAGTACAGATCATGAGACTCAAATTGTTCTGGGGGTGACCTGGAGGCTCAGAACCGCCTACTGTTCAGACAACGTTGTGGTTACAAAAACTATATTGCTTGTTGGTGGTCAAAGGCCAGCTGGTTACAGGCTAGATCGGTGAGCCTGGGCAAGGAGAAAAACAGCAACACATGAAGGGTTTGGGCAAACAGAACAGTGCGTCAACCATGGTCCATACGTTAGGAGCCTTGACCATGCGAAATGCTTGAGGAAATGAACGAGAATGAATGAACTATGAAACAGTTGGGTACAAGTACTAACCCTAATTGGGTTGTACCCCTTATGGGCTACCCCACTACAGCCTACACAGAAGCATAAGCTATAATGTTATGACACACCCCTATAGGCAAAGTGGGGGAGAACAAGGGGTCACAAGACCAGTCAAGCAAAGCAAAGCAAGCTCAGGGTGGATCACAAAGTCACCACACATTCCAAGCACAAGTTCAAGGCCATAAGGCCAGTTCACATGCAGGAGTACATATATATAAGAGGATAGAGAAGCAAGAGCAGGTGTATATATATATATATATATGTAACAGTACAAACAAGGTCAAGAGGTAAGCAAGTGAGGCAAGGCAGGCACAAGACCTAGCTGAGTACAGAAGCACTGATGATCACAAGGCGCAAGCGCCTTGGTGAAGATATCAGCAGTGTTGGCCTCAGAGGCCACGTACGCAAGCCGCAGCTGACCACGCTGCTGCAACTCACGAGCAAGGAAGTAGAAGAGAGCAATGTGCTTCGTTCTGTGCTCCAATCTCTGCTCCCGACACAAGGCCAGCATGGCCTTGTTGTCTACGTACAGCACTGGAGGAGAACGAGGCGGCTCTCCGAGGTCAGTCAGCAGGTAGGTGAGCCAGCGAAGCTCTTGTGCAGCCATGGCTCCGGCGTAGATCCCAGCCTCACAACTGGAGCCGAGAACAAAAGACGAGCGGGTAGCCCGCCACAAAACAGAGCCGGAACCAAGACTGAAGGTGTAACCCTGTGACGACTGCTGCGTAGCCTGGTCGTCAGCCCAAGAAGCATCCCCGTGCCCAGTGAGGACCACTGGACTCTGCCCTCCAAGCACAAGCCCCATGCCGGACATACTGCACAAGTAGCGCAACACCCTCTTCGCTGCAGCCATGTGCTCCGGTCTGTGTCTCCCAGGAGCAACATAGCGTGCGAGAATGCTAAGAGGGTATGCAAGGTCAGGTCGTGTGCAGGTCATCAGGTACATGAGGCAACCAACAAGCTCTGGGTATGGGCCACTCGACTCTACGGACTCATCCGAAGGCAGAGCTGAGAGCGAGTGGCGAGTAGGTAGAGGAGTGGCCTGAGGCAAGGAGTACGTGAAGCCGAAGCGCTGAAGGACCTGCTGCACCATGTGTGACTGAGTCAGGGTAATGGTGCGGCGTGCTCTGTCCCGGGTGATCTGCAAGCCAAGGTAGCTGCGCAGTTCACCCAGGTCTGTGCACGTATGTCTCTTCTGCAGCTCGGACTTCACGTGGGTGAGTCCAGCAGTGTCAGCTGTGGCAAAGACCAAGTCGTCAACGTACACGAGGATGTAGAATGGCGGCAAAGAAGTGTCGATGCGCAGAAGCAGCAACGGGTAGCAGTAGAGGGAGCAAATCCAAGAGCCGCAAGTGTAGTCCTCAGTGTGTCGTGCCACTCACGCGGTGCTTGGCGGAGACCGTAGACTGGCTGACGGAGGCTCCACTGGGTGCCAGGAGGAAAAGTCCCAGTGAAGCCAAGTGGGCGGCGTAGCCAGATCTCCTCGTGCAGGCTGCCCTGCAAGAAAGCAGTGCTGAAGTCGAGAGAGTGTAGCTCGTAGTCAAGGTGAGCAGCTATGTGCAGCAGTACCCAAAGAGTGGTCATCTTTGGGGTGGGAGAGAAGGTCTGAAAGTAGTCAACCCCCTGCGGCTGACTGAAGCCACGAGCCACGTAACGCGCCTTGAAGACAGGCGGAGAACCCGGCGGCCGCTTCACCCTGAAAATCCACATGCCACTGACGATGTTTGCCCTAGGAGGGAGAACGTCGTCAACGTAGGTGCCTGTGGACTTCCAGGAAGCCATCTCTACATCCATAGCTGCCTACCATTGAGAGGAGTAGGGACCCTCTATCGCCTCCGCGTAAGAGCGCGGAGTTGGGATGTCAAGTGCATCCGGGTCTCCCTAAGGGGTAAGAAGTACGGATACGAGATGAGGTGAAGCAGCTGCCAGACACTGGAACTCCTCCTGCCTGTCCTCAAGGACGTCCGTGCCAAGGGCACACTCACCCCCGACAGACGGAGGACAGAGAGACTCAGACTCAGCAACAAGACTGGCAGCGTAGTCTAGGCGACAGCGAGCAGCAAAGTCGACGAGCTCAGCAACGAGGGCGGACGCAGCAGTGGACTCAAAGGAAGGGTCAGTGACAACAGTAGCAAGGAGACGCGTGACAGTAGGACTGGCAGCACGAAGAGAGTCCGACTCCGGGTCGGCAAGAGCAGGAAGAGAAGACTCAGGAGGAGAAGGCAAAGGGGCACGCAGAGGAGCAGTGGACGGACGCAGAGACATCCGGTGCGTGCCAGGGACAGGAGGAGGACGCTGACGCGAACCACGACCACTAGTGCGAGCAGCACGGACACGCGACGCAGGGCGAGACGCAGGCTCATGACGCTCAGCAAGACCTCCAGTAGGACCATAGTAGGGAGAAGGAGCAGGCAGTGGGGAGGCCGGTTGTAACTGTAACAGTGACTGACAGGCTGTGGACACTCTAAGGGAGGAGGAGGACCAGTAGAAGGCGGGAGACCAAGAACCTGCTGAAAAAGCGGAACGAAGTACAGCCAAGGCCGCGCGGTGACTCCAGACACAGCAGGGACAGCACCAGTACCCCCAGTGGTAGCACCAGCGCCAGCAGCACCTCCAGCTCTAGTACCTCCAGCAGCACCAGTAGCACCCCCAGCAGGACCGCCTCCAGGACCGACAGCAGTAGCCTCAGCGCCAACACCCTCAGCAGCTCCAGCTCTAGAAGTACCCGCAGGCCCAGCAGCTCCAGTACTCCCAGTACGAGCATCTCCGAGACCCGCAGCACCAGCACCCTCAGCAGCCGAAGAAACTCCAGCTCCAGCAGCACGCCTCCAGCACTGGGCAAACCACTCGCGCAGCTCCTGTGGAGAGAGTGGCTCCTGCCGAGACGAAGCACGCGGAGAACTGCCAGGCACAGCACCGCCAGACGCTACACGAGCAGGCCCAGCTCCCTCAGGCTCCGCACCCCCAGGCTCAGCACCTCCAGGCGTAGCACCCCCAGGCTCAGCACCCTCAGGCTCAGCACCCCCAGGCTCAGCACCCCAAGACTCAGCACCCCTAGACTCAGTACCCCCAGGCTCAGCACCCCCAGTCGTAGTACCCTCAGGCTCAGCACCCCCAGGCGTAGCACCCACACGCTCAGCACCCCCAGAGTCAGCACCCCCAGGCTCAGCACCATAGTCACCAGTGACCTTTACAGGCTCAACTGCGTCTACCTGGGACACACCTGAAGGGGCAGGACCCTGAGGGGGAAGGGGGTGAACCAGGGGGGGGGACCTGGCACAAGGAAGAGCGGTGGCGGGGGGAGGGACGGAGTGCGGTAGGGGAAGAGACGGTAGTAGGGGACCGACTCGTTGAACGTGACGTCCTAGGAGGACAGAACACGGCGACAGGTGGGGTGGTAGAACTGCCACACTGGCGCGTCAGGGGGGAAGCCAAGGAAGACGCAAGGAGCAGCACGAGGGGACAGCTTGTCCGCAGACAGGTCGCGGACAAACCCCCGAGATCCCCAGACACGGAACGCAGACGCATCGCCAACCTTCCCCGTCCACAGCAAAGCTGAGGAGGTCTCCGGCATGGAGACCCTGGGCTGAAGGTTGATCTGATGCGCCGCATACCGAACCGCAAACGGCCACAGAAAATGGGGGGCAGCCGCATGCATCATGGACGTATGGGCGACGTCCATGACCATGCCAATGCGGCCCTCATCGATCCCATTTTGCCGCGGAGATTCCGGATGCGTGAAGGTCTGGCGGATGCCTCGTGCACGACAGTAGGCTCGCAGAAGGCCAGAGGAGAACTCTCTGCCTATGTCAGAGTGCAGACGCAGAACAGGAAAGTCCGAGCCGAAACTCTTCCTGAGCTGGAGACGAGCTGCGCGGATCCAGTCGATCAACACCTTAGTGACATCACCCTTGCTGCGCAAGGGGAAGACTGTGGTGTAACGCGAGTAGTCGTCAACCACCAGCACGAAGTAGCGCTCGTGTTCCTGTCCACGGACGCGGGCCGGGCCCCACACGTCCATGTGAAGCGTCTGCAGCGGGGCCTCTGTCGGAGGAAACTGGGAGGAGTGAGGGGCAGCCCGCTGCCGCCCCTCGACACAGGGGACGCAGGCAGGGGCAGGCCCCGAGGGAAGGGGAGGGAGGGACCGGGGAAGACCAGAGACGAGGAGACGGGAGGCCATGCCTCGAAGCCGAAGCAGGGAGGGGTGACCAAGGCGGTGGTGCAAGAGGAGAGTCTCATGAGACAGGAGGCGACACGAGCAGGGGGCAGACTCAGGACCAGACCTGGACGCTGCAGCAAACACCTGACCCGACGCAGCTACCTGACCAGACGCAGCTACCTGACAAGACGCAGTGACTGGAGTAGACTCAGTGGTCAGTGTGTACAGGCTCGACCCCGGCGAACGTGTAAACGTGGCCAGGTGTTGGCCTGTCCGAGCGTCCGTTCAGTGGGTCACCCGCTGACTCGCAGGAGTGAACTGGTGAACCCCCGCATCCTGCAGGTCAGCATCACTCACCAAGTTCGTAGAGAACGAGGGGAGGTAAAGACCAGACAGGGTGCCAGCGGGGGCCGCCGGACACGGGAGGACAGTGGAGAAGTGAGCAAGGACAGGACCCCCAGAGGGGTTTGCCATAGAGACTACAACTGGCCGACCAAGCGGCGTGAGTGTGGTGCGGTCTCGAAAGAAGGAGCGAGAAGCCCCCGAGTTAGGGGTGAAGGTGTGGGAGGCCGAAGCCGACGCACTACTTGAGAGAGCAGACTCACCAGCACCTGAGGGAGCAGACGCACTTGCACCTAGAGCAGCAGCCTCGCTAGCACCTAAAGCAGCAGCCTCACCAGTACCTAGAGCAGCAGTCTCAATGCCCGGGTCGAACGGAAAGCACCGGTAACAGTCACCCTCATCACTAATAGTCACAGCATACATGGCAGCAAGAATAGCATCAAAGTCAAGTTCAAAGATAGCTACTCCCGCCCTACACAGCTCGCCCGTCAAGCGGCCAAAGCAGCGCTGGGTGGAGTGCGCACCCCCGCACTGCTCACCCGCGCGGTCGCTGGTGCGTAGGACGTAGATGCACGGACCAGTACCCCCACCCCGCTGGCGTGCAGCGTACCACTCACGGAGCTGCTGAGGGGGGAGGATGTCACGAGTGCGCTGCTGCTGCTGCTGCTGCTGGCGCTGACCACCACCAAAACCGACCCTCTGCGCAGCGCCACCCCGACCAGCTCCGCCTCCTCCGCCGCCGCCTCCTCCTCCGCCTCCACCTCCGCCACCTCCGCTCCCACCGCCACCGCCGCCTCCGCCTCCGCCTCCACTGCCGCCACCAACACCTCCACCCCCGCCACCACTCCCACCACCACCCCCACCCCCTCCACTGCCTCCACCGCCACCTCCGCCACCCCCGCCAGACCCTCAAGCGCCCTTGCCCCCCTTGCCCTTGCCGGTGCGGCGTTTCCCGCTCGGGGCAGACGCAGCGCCGACAGACTCGAAACCAACGAGGTTGGCCGCAGCAGCAGAGGCAAAAGAGGGCAAAAGGGGGGAGGGGGAACACCCCTCAAAGACGGGGGTGCGAGGGTCACCACGAGAGGCTCCTACAGCGACTATGCTCTTCTCTGCTGCGAGGAGGGCCTTCTCGAGGAGGTCAATGGTGAGAGTGGTGGGGCAAACTGAGAGGAAGTGGTCCCTGACTACGCGGAGAGAGTCAGGGAGCCGGGTGACTATGTAGTAGAGGGTAATGTACATGGGGGGGGGGGGGGGGGGTTCTTGGCGCAGAACTCAGCAGGAAGCGCAGCGCGGTAGCGAGTGTCACTAGTGCGGAGGTGAGTAATGAGGTCAGTGACTGTAGGAAAGGCAGCAAGGTCAGGGAAGAGGTACGGTAGCATGAGGCGGCTCAGTGCAGCAGTGGTAGGGGAGGAGTAGCGTGCAACTACAGCGTCGTACAAGGTCTGAGAACTCTTGTACTGGCTAAAGTGCGCACGCTCAGAGGTAGGCAGGTGGCGACGCACAGCAAGACGTGCAGCAGCATCGCGTGTGGCCCACTTTGAGCGAACAGTGGCGTCAGCATCAGCAGCAGGGGCAGGAGAGGCACCCGAGGTGAGGTCAAAGAGGGAGAGACCGTCTGCTCTATCGCACTGTAGGAAAAGCTGCAGGTCATCTACCCAGACGTCGAAGTCAATGGCCCGACCCTCAGCGTCAAAAGCAAGGACACTAGGGGTAGCCATGACAGCAGTAGACTAGCAGCGCAAACAGTAGGGTAAGGGCAGTGCAGTGAGAGAGGCGCTGCTCTTACCGGAAAGGGCGGCTCGGGCGGCTCGGCGGCTCGGCAGGAACTGCAGCTCGGCGGCTCGGCGACTCGGCGGCTCGGCGACTCGGCGGCTCGGGTGGCTCGGGCGGCTCGGCGGTACGGCGGCTCGGCAACAACTGCAGCTTGGCGACTCGGCGACTCGGGCGGCTCGGCGGTACGGCGGCTCGGCAGCAACTGCAGCTCGGGCGGCTCGGGCGGCTCCGCGGCTCGGGCGGCTCAGGTGGCGCGGCGGCTCGGGCAGCTCGGGTGGCTCTGGCAGCTCGGCAGTAGTTCGGCGTCGCCGGCGGCTCGGTGGTAACGGCGGGGCCGTGTGGGGACGGCGGCGGGGCCGGGAAGGGCGGCGTCGGGGCCGCAGGGGTAGGCGACGGGGCCAGCAGAAATGGCGCCGGGGCAGGGAAGGGCGGTGTTGGGGCCGCAGGGGTAGGCGACGGGGCCAGCAGAGGTGGCGCCGGGGCCGGGAAGGGCGGCGTCGGGGCCGCAGGGGTAGGCGACGAGGCCAGCAGAGGTGGCGCCAGGGCCGGGAAGGGCGGCGTCGGGGCCGCAGGGGTAGGCGACGGGGCCAGCAGAGGTGGCGCCGGGGCCGTAGGGGTAGGCGACGGGGCCGCTAGGGCGGCTAGAAGGGGCCGCGAGGGCGGCACAAGAGGGCCGCGAGGGCGGCGCGAACGGCCCGCGAGGGCGGCGCGACGCGACGGAGCCGCGAGGGCTGCGGATCGGGGCCGCGAGGGCGGCGCGACTCGGCCGCTAGGGCGGCGCGACGTGACGGGGCCGCAAGCGCGACGCGACGGGGCTGCTAAGGCGGCGCGACAGGGTCGTGAGAGGGGAGCGCGACTCGGGCAGTTCTGAGCGCGCTCCGGGCAGGAAAAAAAAATGTGTGGTGGGCCCTAGGAACAGTTCCCACAGGGGAACCTACTCGATACCATGAGGAAATGAACGAGAATGAATGAGCTATGAAACAGTTGGGTACAAGTACTAACCCTAATTGGGTTGTACCCCTTATGGGCTACCCCACTACAGCCTACACAAAAGCATAAGCTATAATGTTTTGACAATGCTGAGACCGGGGAAACGATAGCAATGCTCGTGGGTGTGAGAATGGTTACCATTATTCAGGCTCGTGTTTCCTCGACTTGCGAACGGCGTGAATCAGCAGCAGTGGCATGGAGTCAGTCAAACAGCAATGTGTGGTCCTGATGGCGAGGCTTGGGGATTCTGAAAGTGGTGTGAGGGAAGGGAGGCAGGGAGACAAGCGGGGCTGGGCCGATGAGAAGGGAAGAGGTGTGGATGGTGCGGGAGGCAGTACGTGGCAATGAGCGAACGGCCCTGCCACTCGTATGACTATCCATCACACTGGTTGTCGTTCGTTTGTTGACTGAAAGGTCACTCATATATCCATCTCAAGTTACTCTCGATTTCAATGTTGTCTCGAATAGGGCCGACTCGACCCGAAAATTTGAGTCTCGGTCAGGAAGGGTCGGCATTTGACTCGCCTAGAGCTGAGCCTGACTCGTCTTTAAGTTCGTGCACATGTCCATGCTACTAGGTCAGACAGACCCTGTCAATCACAAGCTGAAGTGGGTCACACGCAAAGCCGGTAGGCCACTCAGTCACAAGCTGTTAGGCAAACTTTTGCCCAGCTAGAGGTCAGGTCAGTTACGTTCAAGGTCATTCATGGCCACATGCTAGGTCGGTCACATGCTAGTCTTAGACTCAGTCGTAGTGAGTACGTGACTTAGGAGTCACGAAAGTAGCAGTAGTGGGCTTCAAACAGAATCCCAAAGTTGAAGAAACAGGTTGCTTTCCAACCCAGGTTGTAAACAGAAAGGTTCACTATAAAAAATTGATACAAAGAGGAAAACAGAACATGATATTTAAGCAGTACGAAATCCGAATTTCAAAGTGCGCCTCGCGTAATGCGCCTCGTCGTGAAACCGAATTTCGTAACAGTAACCGACGTTGAAAACCGAAATTCAAACTGAACCGTCTTTGAAACCGACTTTCTTCAACTCCACCGAACACTGCCTCCGGAATGGTTGGGAAATTTTCTGGCGGTTGAGAACGTTCTTCCCTCTCTCTCTCTCTCTCTCTCTCTCTCTCTCCTGAAACCCTCGTTTTCACCAGCTGCTCCTCACGATCTTCTCAGCTAGCTCCTCCCACCGTCAGAACTCATTGTCCAGCCTATTCTCTCCCACCGCCATAGGTAAGGCAATTTCCAAGTGTCCTGTTCTGTCGTTTTCACGCTCTAGAGTCGGTGCAGTGGCTAACCACCTCTAACAATCTCCCCTGTGGTTTGCTGCTGCCAACCCTAGATCTGAAAAAAATCTTAATCACTGTTCCTCCACCTTGCTCCCCTGGAAGTCCTGCAGGGTACGCATCCCGACGAGATGCTTGCAGCGCTCGAAATTAGCCTTCGGAAGGACCTTAGTAAGGAAGTCGGCTGCTTGATCTTCTGTCCGTACGAACTGAAAGGTAAATGCCTTTTTCTCCAGCTGCTCACGCACCCAATGATACTTGATGTCCATGTGCTTGGTACGTCCGTGCCAGTTGTCATTTTTCGCCAATGCTATGGCTGATTTGCTGTCCGATCTGATGGTAGTTGGTCCTTCAATGCGTATCCCCATTTCTTGCAGTAAACGCCGAAGCCACACTCCTTCTTGACATGCGTAAAATAAGGCCATGTATTCCGCTTCCGCGCTTGAGAGTGCCATGTCGTTTAGCTTCTTGCCTTGCCACGTGATTGCTGTCCCGCCAAGGAGGAAGACGTACCCATAAGCTCCCTTTCTATCCTTCTTATCTGATGCATGAGATGCATCAGCATATCCGATTAACTCCATTGCTTCTTCTCCGCCTTTGTATAGAAGCCCCTCTTCTCCCCGTTGCTGCAGATAGGTGATTGTGCGCTGCATCTCCTTCCATTTGCGGCCTTCTAGCTGCAGCACGTTCTGCCCCAAGAAGTTGGCAGCATGTGCAACGTCTACCCGCATACAAGAGACGGGGTACATCACCGATCCGACCCGTGACTGGTATGCCTTCAATGCTCGCTCCTTGCTGCCCCATTGGATGAGTTCTTCTTCAGGGTTGACTTCCTTCTCTGACAGGCTGCTGAGCGGAGTGGTCACTGCCTTGGTGCAGTCCCGTGTTCCAAACCTTTCTTGCAACCGATGTTGTACTTCTTTTAGTAGAGTAGCAACTTCTTCCCTTCTCGGTCCCGCTCCAGGTTCATGCCAAGGAACAACGTGGCTCTCGGGATCTGCTTCACCTAGAAGACAGCTGCAAGGTGAGCACACACTTCCTCAACTCTGTCCTCCAAAGCTCCAGCCACTAGGATGTCGTCGACGTAGAGTAGGAGGTAGAGTTTTTTCTCCCCTTCCCCCTTCCAGTAAAATGCTCTGTCATACTGACTTATCTTGAAACCTCCTTCGAGCAGGCGTGCATCCATAGCCTTGTACCATTCTCGAGGGCTTTGTTTCAGCCCATAGAGCGCTTTCAACAGTTTGCATTTTTTGTCAGTTCCGTCCTCCATTCCTGTAGGCTAATCCATGTAGATGTCTTCTTGGAGTTCTCCGTAGAGGAAAGCGTTCTTGATGTCAAGTTGAACCATGATGTAGTTGCGTGCTGCAACAATCTTGAAGAGTGTCTCTGCTGTAGTCAATTTGCTGACAGGGGCGTATGTCTCCGTGTAGTCAATCCCCTCCACTTGCGAGTAACCTTTTGCCACCAACCGTGCTTTGAACCTCTCGAGCTACCCCTTATCCCCTGTTTTTATCTTGAAAATCCACTTGACGCCAACGGCATGCCTCCCTTCGGGCATTTGGACGAGTTTCCAAGTGCCTCTTTCTGCGAGAGCGTCCAACTCCTCTTGTATAACTGCTTTCCACTGCTCCTTGTATGGTCCAGAGAGTGCTTCCTCGATGCTCAAAGGTTCCTGCGGCAGATTGTAAGTCTCTCTTCTTTCCTTGGTAATCAGCGCTGCCGCCGTTGAGGTGAGGAGGAGGTGAGTGTGCACGTCTTTCCAGCATGTCATCAAGACCTGTTGGTATTTCGGATTCGGCTTCTTCATCCGCATCCCTCTTCCCAGCTCCTCTCTTTTCACCAAAACATCACTTGCACTCGTGTTTGCTGCCATCTCCCCAACTTTCTCTGTGCTTGAGCCTCCTACTTTTCTCCCAATAAGAATAGCTCCTTCCTGCAGTAAGCTGTCGATTTCTGCTGCTCCTTGGTCGTTGTTGTTTGTCTCGAAGAACTCCCACGGGTCGCTTTTGCCCTCTGTACTTGGCTGACCTACACTTTCTGTGAGAATGAGAGCGAGGATGAATGAACTATGAATGAAGTGAGTACATATAGTAAACCCTAATTGGGTTGTACCCCCTATGGGATACCCCACTATGGCCTACACAAATGTGTAAGCTACATAGTATTCTGACACACCCCCATAGGCAAAGTGGGGGAGAACAAGGGGTCACAAGACCAGTCAAGCAAAACAGAACAAGCTCAGGGTGGATCACAAAGTCACCACACAGTCCGAGCACAAGGTCAAGGCCACAAGGCCAGTTCACATGCAAGAGTACACATATATATAAAGCTAGACAAGCAAGAGCAGGTATATATATATGTGACAGTACAAGCAAGGTCAAGAGGTGAGCAAGTGAGGTAAGACAGGCACAAGACCCAGCTGAGTGCAGAAGCGCTGATGATCACAAGGCGCGAGTGCCTTGGTGAAGACATCAGCAGTGTTGGCCTCAGAGGCCACGTACGCAAGCCGCAACTGTCCACGGTGCTGAAGCTCACGAGCAAGGAAGTAGCAAAGAGCAATGTGCTTTGTTCTGTGCTCCAGTCTCTGCTCTCGACACAAGGCCAGCATGGCCTTGTTGTCTACGTACAGGACTGGAGGAGAACCAGGCGGCTCTCCAAGGTCGGTCA